ATCTCATTTTGGCCTAGGGTGAAATATGTAAGCGACCCAAGCGCTTTAGGTGTTAAAAAACATTATTGATATTGCCATACATGATCAGTAGTTAAATTATAATCGAACTTAATTGTCCTTCTACTAAGAAATCTAATTTAACCCTAAGATTTTTATCTTTTAACAACATCCAATAACTTTGCACTATTAATCCCATTATTTCCTTTTGAATTTTTGTTGTTTGAATGAAATTGAATTAATACTGATTTTCTTTCATAGTCTTGGCCAATTTTTTACTATTAAGGGTATTTTCCTCACTTTGCTTTCTCCTTTTGCTGCTGTCTATATGACAATATGTACAGGGTTAACTGTTAAATCGTAAATGTACTTTGAAACTATAAAATTAGTTGGCACTTTATTACAAGATATGATAATATAAGAAGATAGCAAATTTTAATTTTATTTTGAGTAATAATCTGTCAGATGTTTAAATTTATCAAATTTATTCTACAGGCTGTATTTCCTTTCTGTTTTCCTGAAGGTTCTTAATTTTTTATTATTTTTTATTGCACACATCTCATTTTGTTCAATTTCAGTTCACGTGTACATTTAATTAATTTTTTTTGTTTGGTTGTTTTCAGGAAGCCAATTCACATCAATCTACTTTAACAAGGACAAGTCCTCAACATATGCCTCAGTCTCTTACTGTTTATAAAGTATGCTTTATTTTTTGTTTTAATTTTCCTTTTCGTTTTTAAATTTATTGTTTTATTAAGCACTTTTAAAATTGTTCATGTCACTTCCTTGTGATGTGATGTCTAATGGATTTAATATTAATTACGTTACATTCTTACCTTAAAATTATTAATTACAGTTCAGCAGTTCAAGCCCTTGTAGCAGCTCACCTCAAAGCCCACCATCACCAACCAATGCTCAGTGTACCATGAATTCTAATCCTGACCATAATAGTTATTTTATTGGCCAAACTAATGCACTTCAACACCACTTTGAGCAATTTTCTATGGTAAATATTATATAATAAATATTTGTAAATGTATAGAGATAGAGCTGACGATGAAAGTAATACAAATACTCTACTTCAAAATCTTGAATGTGCAGACATTTTCAGTAATTTCAATCTTTGTTGAAAGGTTAATTAATAATATGTAAAATATGTTTTGTCGGATATGATATTTACGTGAGGCCTGTTAGAATTACAATTTTACTATATCGATTCAAATTATATTACAAATGTCAAAATATTGACAATTCAGATGGTGATAATAAAAGACTATTGTGCTATTAGTAAGGTTGAAACTTAAAGTTGAAAAAAAAAAATAGTATGAATAATGCCATGCAAATGTGTTACAAGTTTTGAAAAAGTTTTATTTGATATGATTTTTAGTTTAAATTCATACATCACGTCGAAGAGGGGGTCATCACTTACACATACACTTACTTATAGACGCACTTACTTTTGGGCCAAAGCCTGCATACATGTCTGGCATGTAGAGAAAGGTTACTCGATCCTTCCCCTTGAAAGGTGCAATTCCTTGGCTCCATATAGAGAGCATGTAGAAAGGCCACCAGATATGAGAATAGTGCTTGTACACAGCAGCAGGTATCTAGGTTCACTGCATTTTTAGAGGAAACATGGCTGTTTTATTGTATAAAATACTTTATACATATTTCACCTTGTTTCTTTGTGTGTGTTGAGACTGAATGTATTTATTAGTGTAAATGTGTGAGAGGGCCGTTAGTGGAATATTGAGTACCAGCGGACTGCTAGAAATAATTCAACTCTGTACAATAGTTTTTTTATTTATTTTATTTTATTTCTTTATTTATTTTTATTGAATCTATTTAGTCATCGCGTTTCTAAACCATTCAGGTCTAAAACATTCCTTTTGGATTACAGTCTAGCATTAAAAAAAGAAGTGCAAAATTCCTTATATTAACAATTACAGCTTTATTAATTGCTCTAACTTTATATTAAGATTGGCTTACAATACTATAATATATTTCCCATTCTAGAGGTGAACCTCTGCATTTCGGCATCACAAAAAAAATTTTGTTCCCTAATTTTTTGGAGCCTGAATAGACGAAAAATAATGGAAAAATCGAGTGAGTAGTTTGGATGAAGCAGTGCAATTCAATCAGTTTCCACCAATTGTCAAGTTGCTTAAACCTAAAATTTTGATGGATCGTTCATAGAGTAATTTAAATATTTTGAGACACTAATTTTAGATGCATCGAGATTATTGTAAATTGGGATTTTACTTTTCCAACTTAGCTTGAATTTATTTGTCAAAATTAAGAGGCTTTATTTCTTCTAAATTGAAATTATAATTTATGAGCTTCACACACTTCTTCAAACTTAATTTTTCCTACAGCACATCCTTGATCTGTTGTTGAAAATAATCAGAAATTTGCACAATTTAACTTCTAATTTCACTTGAAAAAATAGGGTACAAACCTTTCTCAGACCTCTAAGATCATTGCCGATGCCAATATTGTATCAAAACTGTAAAAAAAGGAGAAACTAATTTGAAGTGTACTAGTGTGTAATGTTTGATATTTAGGATCATAAAAATTTATGAGAAACGGGAAGTATTAAAAAAGAAAATGCTATCAGTTACAAAATCATTGCCTAAAACTATTTCCCCCTTCAGTGTGTCAATTTATGCAACAAAAGCGTGTACTTTAATAAAAAATAAAATAAAATAAAAAAATAAAAAATTGGGGATGAAAATAAGTATTTCTCATTAATCAACCAAGAAATCCTATATGAAAACAAAATAAATAATTATGAGATGTCCTCTTGAGGTTTACTTCGTGGCAGACCAAAATGTTTAGAATTGACCAAACTACACAATACTTATATTTATTTTTTATAAATTTACATTATTTATGTTATATTCATTTCCTGTACTATTATACTATTTTGCAATATTATACATCACAATAATTTCACTTGAAACAAATATGACACGACAAGAATAACACCATACTTTATGCCCTGAAGTCGAAGATGACCCAAATAAAGGTGGAAACGTCGGCAAAAAAATTAAAAAGGTGTTTTTCTCAAATACTTCATTACTGATTGTTCCTCACCACTTCAACAAATTGTACATATTTTATGCATGTATTTAATTATATTGATTTGCTTTACTTTTACAAATTCAAACTGTCAGGAGAGCATTTGTTAAAAAAAAAAAAAATAATTTCAAAATACACAGATGATCCCGCTTTTTTTTTTAACATTGCTAGTAGTAAATATTAGTAGAGATAGTTTTCTAAGCATGAAAGCTATTTCTGAATTGGCTTTACTGATTCGACCAGTAAATTTTGTTTTGTTTCAATTAATTCTGGTATACAGTTGTTTCATTTTCTTTTGTGTAGGGCACAATAACTAATCAATTTTAACTAGTTTAATAGTAATAAAATATCTGAGATTTAGTATATTTTGACACAATCAGTTCCTATTATTTTTATCTTTAGTTTACTGGTTAACTTTTTAATTGTACAACTTGTTAATATTTTACAGATAGACTCACCTGCTGGCATTAATTTGGATTACATTGGTTCTACCAACTCTTCTTTACAGGTAGATACTCAATTATTTTTTTTTATTTTTTATATAGATGAAATAAAGAACATAAATAAGTCTTAGCCTCCATAGAAAAAGCAAATAAGACGATTGCTAAGAAATTTATATAATTTTCACATCCCATATTTGTTTTGTGCGAATATTTTTTGACTGATGTACATTTTAATATTTTAGACTGATGAAAGTTGTCCGAAGACTCGAAATCACGAGTTGACTCCTGATCCTGGCTACTTTAGTACATCGCCGTCTCAGCATAATGCTTATGTCCGAGGAGCACCTGAAACAACAACACCCAATACTCCGTCCAGTATACCTGATATAATCTTTACTGGTAATATTTTCTATAAAATAAAAAGAATATTTTTATATTTATTTACTTAATTTTAATTTCAATTTCAATGTGGCTGTACTCTCAGTACTAAAAATAAAAACAGATTTTTCGTGTTTTACTTACAAAGCGTGGCAAAGACATCAATTTCAATGAAACTTTTTTTAGTAATACTAGGTGAAAAATATTAGGCATGTCGTTGCGCACGTATTTCAAAGTTGGTTAATTTGTTTACATACACACAAGAAATTATATGCAGTATCGTATTAAATGAGATGAGATACAAAAACAAAGACTCTTCCAGAAAAGTTGGCCAAAATTTTTTTTTTAACTCATTCAAAGCGGGACCGAATCCAAGACCAGCACCCAGTATTTTTTGTGTGAAACTGATAGGTTGATTGCATTTAGGTTCTAATTAATAGCAATTAATGATGTTTCATGACTCAAAAGTGCATTTTGGTTTTAGACCATGACTCGACGCTGGAGTCCCTCAACTGTATGCGATGAAAGTCTGATTATGCAAACCCGCAACTCAACGTACTTGTCCAATCCGCTTGGTGTGGCGTGATTCAACTGTTCAATTCAAATTATTTAGAATTTTCTTATTCTAAACCATTTTAAAAACATTTTGACTACTTTTTCTTCACTAATGTATGAATGAGGAAAAATATTTCCGAGCTGAAAAAAAACAACTTTTTTTAAGATAAGAACAGTTTATTTTTCTCTAATATTTACAGTTGTTATGGTTTTCATTTTTACAAAATTAATTTAAAAAAGAAACAAAAATTATTTATAATACAGCATATTTACAACAATAAAATTATATAGTTACAATTTTTTTCACTAATTTCAAATGTTGAAAATTAAAAAAGTTAAAAAATAAAGTTAAAAAGAATAACAAAAATTAAAAAACAAAAACAATGAAACTATTTACAATAAAAAATAATAAATATTAACATATTTTTTATTATTTGAATGATTTAGATTTTTTTGTGAAATAACAAAAACCATGTTGTAATGCATATATCCCGGGTTTGTCGCTGCACCCCATGCAGTAAATGCCTGTAGTGCCCTAGAAAAATATGATTATTGCACAATAAAAATATAAATTATAATTTTAAAACACTGAGACGCATTTAATGAGTTTCGTAAAAAGATATTTACCTGGGCCATCCTTCCATTACGTAAAAACAGAGCTAAAATTCACGTTTATATTTTGCTTCTATAATTTTGTCAAAGTTGGTGTCCAATAAAACTGAAGACAAAGTAAGTTAAAAAATATCTTTCATGTAGAAGAGAAAAAGCGAGTAATTTTTTCTAGTTAATAAAGCACAAAAATATTGGTTTTATGCAAAGACAAACCTTATTTTTAATTTTAGAACATATTATTTACAAGAAAGATCAAACTTACCAAAAAAGGTGGCATAGAAATTAGATTTGCGTTTATAGGTTTCAGGTTAAAGACTCGGAAATGATGCTTACAAAAAGATAGCCCAGGCTGTTCTGAACCATTCAAGCAGGCAGAGGCATTGTACGAATTTTCTAACTAAAATACGGAAAAAAAAAAAAAGTTGACTTTTCAGAGTGGGGGCTTGACTCCACTGTGGGGGTACCGTACCCGGCGAGAGTCCCGCTTGACTCCACATTGAATGTGTTAAGCACCCTTTAGAACCCTTAAATATGAATTTTTATAGGAAAAAAATGACATTTTAGGCTTGAAATTTTTTGAGCCTATATCAAAAATCTTTGCTTTTTGTTATAATAAATATAATACAAATTTTGGGTAAAATCAGGTTCAAAATATTAAAACGTTTGTTCGGAGTCTGAAAGACTTAAATATGTACCACACTGGCTCTTTTTTTAAATAAACTGTTACAAAGATTAATGACTGACGACCACTGTTTTAACCACTGTGTTAATTCACCTGAGGAAGGATTAAAATAAATCCGAAACGTTGTGAATTGAAAGAAAAACTGGTTGTTGTTTTTTTGAGACAACCTATTATCCCACCTTCAAGAAGGAAATATCATAAGGGAAAATCAAAAATTAATTTCTCTCATTTTTACCATTAATACCTGTATTTTTGTTTTAAAAATTGCAAAATGGTGATAACATTAGAACAAATCAACTGATCCACAGGAAACTTTACGGGGTTTAGAATCTTATAAACTTGACGATATGAGACAAACTTGGTCTAAATAAATAAATGAGAACTGGTGTTATAAAATAAAATGTTCTAGGAGTTTTTGTTGATTTCATCCTTATTTTTTATCACTTATAATGACATAAAACCCAAAGATTGTTGAAATAAGGTTAAAGTATAGATATTAGACTTTACAACAACTACAATAATGTTGAATTTAGATAAAATCCAAATGTGTTATGAATTTTTAAGTGGAACACTGGTCATTGATGAGAAAAATTGCTCCCCGTGAAAACAGCCAATAATGTCTATTTTTGTTTCCTATAAAAATCTGAATTCAAGTGGTTTAAAGGGTGTTTAAAATTAATCTAATTTTTTAAAACGATTTTTTTGGCGTATTGTATTGATTCGGTTTTTGTAACTTTTTATATATCTGATCTCATTTAATACAATATTATATATTATTTTAATATCCTACAAAAAAAAAAAAAAACAAGCAAATCAGCTGATATACAATAATTTTGTAATACATGCACAACATTGACAGAAACCTTTATTAAAAAAAAATATATTTAATTTTTTTTTCTCTTGGCACCTAGGGCCCATTGGCACGAATGTTTCGTCTTGAGTCTAATATTTTTCAACCTAGTATCACTAAAAAAAAGTTTTGTATTAAAATCCTCAGTCTATAGCTTTCCCTTCAGACATTTATCTAAATTTTAACAAAAATTGATAAAACTTTATTGGGAAGAAATTTGATAAATGTATTCTGTTGTAAGTTTTAAAATTGAACATTTAATGTTACTGTGTATTTTGTTGGTTTAGATTTCTCAAACAGTGATGAGCTTACCAAGGATTTTGCAGTCACTATGGTGGACTCCTTAGATCAAGATTTATTTCCCTCTGATGAGTGTTTAAGAGAGGGCTTAGATCCGATTGACTTTGATGGTTTACAGATGCTTACAGATCCAGAAATAATAACAGATCCTGCTACAGAAGACCACCTCAGACTAGATAGACTGTAGGTATTTTAGAATGTTCAGAGTTCATTTAAATTTTGTTACCTCATTCTTGTGTCCCTTCTTTATTTTTAATTGCACAGGGTAGTTGAAATAGTTTTATAAAATGACTGATTGTGATAATGGATTTTTTATGCATCTTTTTATTTCTTATTGTATTTTTTTTAATAATCAATATTTACTAGTCTATGACCATTAAAGGAAACTATAAACAGAGGAAAATGCTGCTGCTGTGAAATCATTGCAGAAATTTGTCATCTTTACAAGTTATTCAATTCTAGTTTGTAATATAAGATAACACAAATTGTTTATTAGTCATTTTTTAAATTTTATAAGTATTGGCCAAAAGATGATTGCATATGGTTTTGTTTTGAGTTACCTGTTTAGTTTTTCCTTGTTTTTGGGATGTTTATTAATTTGAAGTCAAAAGTCAAATTTTTCCATTAACAACAATGAAAATCCAGTTTATAAATTTTTACTGTTTAAACGCAGTTTAAAGTTGCCAAAAGAGTCACCAATTATTTCTCGGTGAACCAGTCTAATCGAATTTTTAAGTTTTGGAAATTTTCTTATTATTTATGCAATGCATGTAAACATACGTTATGCTCTCATGTTCTACTGTAGTTTTCACCATGTACTTAGTATTTTTATATATATATAATTTTTTCTGTGAATCTGTTAAACTTAGTCTTGTTAGAAAGTGCCTGTTAGTTGTTTTTTTTTCTTTTTAATTAGTAAGGGGAATCATATTTGATTATATTAAAGTACAAAACTCAGCATTTTTCAATATAAGATTATTTGCCCATAACTGGTAAATGTTAATAAGAAATATTTTTATGAAAAAAAAATTAAATAAAGTGTTGAGTGTGTACTTTTATTCTGGGCTAACAAATGTCTTAATATATATATTTTTTTTAACTAGTTGTACCCAAGTGATTTTAAGTGCTGGCCAGTTTTTATTATTTTATTTTTTTGTTATTTGTTGAGTTTTAGCAATAGTTACGGTCATGATAAAAATTTTAAATATCCATGTTTTTATTTGATTTTAAATGTGTCAATTTTGAGATGGTAAAAATCCCTCTTGCCAAACACTTAGATCACTAATAGCATGTACATAGTAATGTACTATAGTTAAGTTTGTAAATAAATTATATTTATAATGTTTGTTGTAAATAAACTATTCATATCATAGGTTTCAGTTTGAGCAATATAATTTTAAGTTTTTAGTTTTGTGTACATTTATTTTGTATATTTTTAATTTTTTTTTTTAAATTTTAGTTTTGTTTATTTATTTTATGTTTTGACAAGTTTTATCTCTAGTTCAACAGTGCTGTACTTACTTCATACATATATTTTTTAAGTTGCTTTATTATGTTTATTGTTTTTTTAAATTTGTAATTCAAGTTTCTCATTCAGTTTTATTACATATTGTTCTATTATGTCCATTATTGTTTTTGTTTTCCTTTACACAAAATATAAATTCAATGTCATTTTCATTAAATATCTTTATTTCAGCGATTATGTTATAATATATATNTTTTTTTTTCAATTCACCTTCAAATAATTCACATGGAGTAAGATTTTCTCCTGTGGTTTGCAAGGTGATATCTGTAATTTGATCGTTACGGATCATCTTGATTAGATACACTAAAGATGGTGAAATGCCGAAACACCTATAACAGACCAACCAAGGATAGGCATACCAAGATGTAACACTTAAGTTACATAAGAACATTAGCGAAAAAGAGTGAAGGAATTGTAAACTATCGATATGAAAAAGTTTGATGCACCTTCGGCTTATAGATAAATCAAGTTTCTCAGCAACGAGCGATTGTTTTCAACCTAAGTTAGATTTGGTGACTGTACTTTAATTATCCCTCTACTTGACTATGAACTGACAAGAAGGGCAGGCACCTTGCAGATTGATTCTTTTTATGTTTTTGCAACGTTGTTGTGCAACAACTTCCTTGTTGCAACATGTTTCTCTTTTTTTAAGCCTAAAACCCCCTAAATACGCATTTCTCGGAAAATCAAGAAATATTTTTCCTTTCAAATATTTTCGATATATACTGTTCAAAAAAAAAAAAAATTAATTAATAAAAAATTTTAAAAAAGTGGTGCACAATTTTGATTTTTTTACATACTTGTCTTTTCAGTAATGTGATAAGTAATATTATTTTTTTAGGTAAAGAAGATTAAAAAGATTTGGTGTGAAAAAAATGAAAATATCTTTCTCGAAAAAAATATTAAAAAATCATTTTTATGTATCAGCATATAAAACATCATAAAAAAAAGCTTAATAATCTTTGTAAATGGTGTGTTCCTCCTCTTGATTTTATCACACACTCTAATTTTCTCAGCGTGTTCATAATTAAGCTTCTAACATATTGAGGAATTTCCTCCCAAATCTCAACTAATGTAACTTTCAGCTCAGATAAAGTTGTAGGAGGGTTATTTCTTTTCGTTTTACCCAATGGGGTTCAAATCAAAGATATGGGCTCTTATGAAGCATACATGGACATCGTGAAGGTTCTGGAGTCTCTACGGATTTTCGGAAAAATTGCATTATCCAAAACGGCTCCACCTGCTTTAGCTCGGTTAAAAAGGGCTCTACTATATTAATGTTTTTTACTTCCATTATTTCACTATTATAAGAAAAACAGGAACTTTTACGCATCAGAATAACATTTTGTAGTCATAAACCAGAAACTCAGTACGTCAAAATGAGACATTCCTTTTTTTTTTTTTAATTAATTTATTTATTTTTAATAGACCAACAGTAATTTCTTTAACAAGTAGTTCAGATTATAACAAGTACAAACAATAAGATAAAGAATGATTCTTTTACTTTTTTTACATATTCGATAATTAAACAGTTTTTGGATATTTACAATTTTATATATAATTCAAATTTTTTTTTGTACTTGTACTAAACATCAATTGGTTGTATTTAATTCGCAATACATTTCAGGTGCATACCTGTTGATGTGTGTACATATGTATATATTGGTTTCCTACATGGAATAAACTTTATGCATGTTACCATACATTGTATTTTTTATTTAAAAACAAAAAATGCTGAAATATAATATGTACATAAGATAATACATTGAACGATAGGCACACACAATACAAAAAGTGTCTGATTGGTATGCCAGTAGAAGAAAATGCTTCGGAACCTGAAATTCAAGGTTTTTTCCAAGGATGAATATTTTTAACTAGCATTTAGCAACATTAAGTTCAGTATCTACTTTTTAAGTTATTTGGACTGCATTCTGGCAACAGTCAATATCTGAAGTAAATAGAGTGGAAGAACCTTGTGGCATACCTGCCTTTATCTTTTTTTGTTCGTGTTTGGCAGATCTAATGATCCTGGCAAAGAACTGTCATCAAGGAATGATATTTAACTCCTTTAAAAGATAGATAATATAAAAATACAATTACAGATATTAATGTAAAAAGTACCAGATTAAGTATAGGAAGTAGTGAATTTCTTTCTTTAAACAGGAGAAAATTTAATCCAATGTGACTTCACACTAAACAACAAGTTGCACATATATTTTTCACATATTACTGAATGTTTCTTACATATTTGTAAAACTGTTAATACATGCTGCTTACAAAAGAAGAATATAACTAACTATATATTATAAATTCTTCACATTTTTTTCTATTTCTGCTTCATGGACCAGTGATGAGAACCTCGATAACTTTGACGATACACCAATACTTGTTGCCAAAATTAGGGGGAATGATTCATCACATGATTGACCAGCATTGTAGTAAGTATAAATGTAATTAACACTTGAAGTCTCTTTCTTATATATAAAAATAAACAACATAAAAAAATAATAATAATAGGGTTTTTGTTGTAACTATCAAAATAATTCCTTCCATTCATTTCAAGTCAATTAAATTCTAAGGGGGACAAGTTTGAGAAGCATGTGTTATGGACTTCTATATTAAAATATTGTAACGTTTTCAGGATGTATCCTCCTGCCAATTTCCGGTAGCCAGGCTCCATTTCTTAAACAGCACTATTCTTCTCCCCATAGCTTCACATCTGGGATTCTGTATTTCTATGTGTAGAAGCGCTTCCAACGTTGGAAGAAGGTCGTTAATTGTAATTTGAACCTTTTTATACATAATGAGAAATGGAAATACTACTCAAATTCTTGAGATAATAAAGTAATGCAACTTTATTCATATATTCAAACATTTTTTTTAAGGTTTTAAACCCACCAGGTAACCAGAAAAGTTGTGCATTCATCTATTATTGTTTTAATACCATTAATCAACATTTCTATTTACATCATGTAATATTAAGAAGATACTGCGTCAGTTCATAAAGTGTCGAATAGTTCACCGTAAATTACAAAATATTTTCTTTCTCACGGCTTCAAAGCCCACAATTCATGCATGACTTTGAGCTTGGTATTATGGGTTGTTGAGGCAGCTTGTAAAATTTCCGCTGCATTCGTTAATGAAACAATAAGTGTGCTTCACAAATGTGGTTCAAAAAGTTGGTTTCTGGGAATGGGATTGAAGATCATACCACATGGTAGACTTGTCTTGAATGACAACGAATTGTGGGAAGCTATTGAAATTGATTTGATTTAAACATGTCAGGATCTTGCCAGAGTGTGAATGAAACCATTCACTCTAGTTTACATCGACTTGGGAAGATGTGAAAACTAAGCAATTTGACCTACGGTAAAAGCCTAAACATTTGCATTTTGTTGCTTTCACAGCACAAAAGCAGAGACGTTTTTAGAGTGTCATATGTGAAGAAGAATCCTGTACTGTAACTCTATGAGGTAGGAGGTCTACCATTGGCTGTCACCGAATTGCCCTGTACCATTGACACGAAAACCAAATATCCACCAACAAAAGGTGATGATTGTGTTTAGTGGAGTATGGCAAATAAAAAATCTATTCAAGCCAACTGCAACAAGTATCTCCTGTCCTAGCCCAGAAACAACGAGTGTAATTTTTCACCAGGACGATGAAAGACCTCATACAGCCAGAACGACAAAGGAGATGAACCTTGGTTGGGAAGTCCTACCCTTGGTACTCTCCAGACCTAGCCCCATCTGATAGGGAAAGGGGGGGAAAGGGTAAGACCTTTTCTTAGTAATGTACAATATGCAGAATCTGGATTCTTATAATCACCAAATGCCGGAAAATAAGCTGAATTTATATTTTAATCCCAGGATTAAACTTTTATAAAAAGAGCATAACGGGGCTAGTAACTTGGGAGAAAGTTGGTTTATATCGGGGTTTTTTGTTCCCCAAGCACTGCAGCCTTCAGGCTTATTGTACTCTTCTAATTCCTTAGTTCAGAGCAATCTATTTGACCCTTCTCCTAACAAGTGCTAGGTCATTGACTGTCGTTGCTACAATTCCTCTCCTTTTGTTCTCTTTGTATCCCAGGTTATGTCTCCATTGAGCTGTTCGCGTTCGAAGGTATGGGTAGCTGTTTCTTCCTCCTTATTGCATAACCTACAAATGAAGATCATTGAATATACCCATGTTAAGAAAATTTTACTCAGATGCCAGTGACCAGTAGTCGTATCTCTCCTCTGAGTTTAGCCCTCTCATACTGTAGCAGTGAGTTTACCAGTTTTGATGAGGATTGTTTTAAGATAAGCTTGTGTCTAGCATCTCGAGTTTATCCACTTCTCTTTTTTCTCTCTTCTTGATTCATTCTGTGTTGTTTTTGTTATCCCAAGAATAGGTTCGGGGCCTATATATGGGCTTGTGTGTTTGCCTTTTCATTGCGTAAAATTCTTTTGTGTCCTGCTACCCAAGTCGTTTTGTTTCCCGAGGTTTTGGAGATTTTGGATGCATTCACTGACTAATTTTTTCATGCTAATGTTTTAATTGTTGCTTAGCTATCCAATCTTATGAGGATTGTTTTGTCAGTGCAATCTTTTTTAAGATTTTATTAGGCACAAGCGTTGTGGCATGAATTTCAGCTTGAAACTTCTTCTGGGTTATGCCGATGGAGGCTATTTCCCCAGATGAAATATTTCTAAATAATATTAATTGTGACAATTATTAAACCCTTAAACCTGCACACTTTTCTGGTTACCTGGTACCTAAATAAACATACCGATACAAACGCTTTACTTTATTAATGTAAACTGATGTCTCATGAATCATTTAGTTTTTTCGTTTAAAAAAAAGTATTAATTAAATATATTTAACTTTATTGCTCTTTAGCTTATTGGAAAATGACTAATGTAGCAAAATAGCTGAATTTACTGCAGTTAAACTATTAAAAAAAGCACACTAACAAAAGAAATAAGGAATTTTTGAGTGTTTCTTTTTTTTCAGATCCTTTACTCCAGAATGAATAATTCATCTTGCCATTTGAAACCAACGCACATCTATATCTAAGGCCATATTTTTAATACTCCAATTAAGTGTGTATTTATAATAATTGTATCAAATACTTAACCAAGACGACCACATTTACTGTATTATAGCTTGGTTATACACTATCGTGATAGTTGAACATTTTATCTGTGTTTAAACACAAATTTTGTTATTAACCAACTGTTGTTGTATATTTATTGGAAATAGCATTTGATTTATGCACGACATTTACAATTTTTTATGTGTGTATATGTGTGCCTATAAAAAGTTTATATATGTACACAATATCCACTATTGTAAATACAAAATGTAATGTTTATATAAAAGATTTTTTTATAGTAAGTATTGTTAACCCTATGAGTGACTAGATCACCTTAAAAATTCTATTATTAATCATTTTATACTACTTTTTACAGATTGCTTAACCTCTATTATTAAATATTATCAGATTAAAAAAAATCAGTTTAGAAAATCAATATAAATAATAATATTATTTGATTATTTAACAAATTTTGACAGATAGTGTCAATGTTTTTTAATAAATTAAAAGAAATATTTTTAATGAACTTTGAATATCTATTGTTTAATTTTGTTCTCAGTAAACGATTTTTTTTTCTTCCTATACTAAGATACAGTAGTGTAAAATTTTAAATTACTGTACTTAATCTTTGTACCCTGCCCCATCTTATTGGGATGAAAATTCAGAAGTAGAATGTTGTTGCTGAAATTTTTGTAACAACCTATTTTCTAGTGGCTGTGAATTTTTATTTGTCTACTCAGTGTATTCTTAAAATTTTAATGTTTATAAAAATTTTATAAATATATCCAGGGGATATACATAATAGTAAATATGGTTAGATTTATGCTTAAATTATGTACCTTATTCGGTTTAATATCTTAGGAAATAAACATTAGTTTATAGCAAGTGTACAGCAAAACATTTTTAAAGAGAAGTTTCATAATACATGGACATCTGCAATACAATAGCAATAAAATGTATGTATGATTATCCCAAGATTTAATATTATTTACATCTAAGGGAAGAAAAATGTTCAATTGTATGTAAGTGGATTTATTGTCGATGCTATAAACATTGGAAATAATTTAGCGGTTGAGTTTTTATATTACTTAAAATTTTAAAAGACCTTTTCTACTGGTGTCCAAACTAAAAGCCTGGCTAAATTCAAAATAACACTTCTTTAAAATTTAAAAAGCTGTGCTAAAATGTTATTATGAACAACTTTGTATAACCCTATTATTGTTTTGTAGTTGTTTTTGTTTATATTTGTTAAATATAAGTCCTTAATAAAATCTCCATTCAATTTATGAATCATTTGAAATAATTATATTATTCTTGCAGTATACATTAAGTTTCAGAACCCCTTGGAGTAATCCCAATTATTTTCCAAGCTGAGGTCTATGCAATACAACTGTGTGAACAGGAGTTTATAAAGAAAAATGTGAAAACTGCACAAATTAACTCTCAGAGCCAGACAGTTATATAGGCAGTAATGTGTACGTTCTCCGGTCCAAACTAGGAGTGCCTAAATTGCCTAGTGACATGAATTGCTCGGCCTTCTTACCTATGAGACCAGAGCCACAACTGGGTGCACGGGAGTGTGTGCTTAAGTTAGTCTTAATTGGACAAATGGCTTGAGAATAAAACCTCAAGCACTGGGTATAAGGCAAGCTATTTAAAAAAATCTCAGAAAGGAAGCAGAAGGAACTCCTCTCTCAGCAGGCAGGATTTGAGAAAAATTATAGGCCTCTATACCGGTTACTGCCCTCTTAAGTACTATCTAAAGAAGATGGGCAAAGCAGAGAGGGAAACATGCCAACTTTATCAGGAGGAACTAGAGACATTGCCACATATCTTTTGTGAATGTCAAGCAAAGCCCTGTTTATGGGAGAGCCACTTTGGTGAGGCAATTCTCACACCGAGGAAAGTCTTATAGAAAAAAGTGCTCTTTCCAAGGTATAGGCAGTGGAGGAAAGGATTTTTAAAATCCTTATTCGATCCCCCAAACCGAAAAAATATGCTTAAAACCCTTTATTTAAATATCTTTTTAATTAGCTCTAGAGTTTTTATTAAAAATGACTTGTATTTGTCATGCTAATGTTCAGGATTTGAATCCATTAACATTCCCATAGCAACTGTTTGGGGGGGTCTTCTATCACTACCAAGATACTGGAGGCCACTCAAGAAGGCAAGGATCAGGTCGCCATCATGTCACGTTTCAGAGAGTTGATCATTTTATTGTTTCGAATATACTCCGCAATCAACACTCTACCGCTGTAGAGATCAAGCAACGACTTCAACAAGTTAGAAATGTTAACGTTAGTTTATGCCCTGTAAGGTGAAAACTTTCAGAAGCTGGATTGCGTGCGAGAAGGCCTGCCACACTAGTGGTTGTGGACCACCAGAACTTCTTACAAAGCACAGAACAGCTCGGTTAAGTTTCGACCCTATTAATTGCCCTTTTCGCGAATGAAACGCTCTTCAATAAGTATGGGATACATGAAAGATGGGTGCTTAAGATAATATCTAACTATTTATAATGGTTTATAAATAGTTAACTGACTAAAAGGCATTAGGTAATGGATATTCACATTTTATTAAATAAACTCTGAAATAGTCATTATATTGTAAAATAATTTGTCATAATTAATTAAAAAAACATAGGCCTATTACATTGGTTTTAAACTGACCTACAGAAAAAACATGAAAACATACAGGAAAAAATTGATGGATTGGGTTAGGTCGCTCCACCAAGCATCAGTTTTTGGACAAAGATAAACAAATGTGAACTCTGTTTTATTATTTAGGTTAAACAAAATGAACTTTATCAATAAGTTTATGTGACAAGTAAAAATAATATAAAATATAATATTCCAAGAAAATTTGTGGGGTGTTTACCAATGTTGGTTGCTATTTGATATTTATAGTGATATATATATAAACACATTCAATGTGAAGTACCTAGTCAAACATTCAGCTTATTGCGTTCTTGCAACAATATGCAGTCTTCAAACAGATGGCATCATCAAGATTTTAAATTGGAACTTAGCTTCTATCATTATAAAGTTTTTTTTTTAACAATTAAAATAAAACTTTTTTTTAAAGCAAGTTTTGTCTTTCACTTGGCTTCATCAAGGGCGAGCTTCATTTTTACAATATTGCCATTCAATGGCACATTTAATATTACTTCCAATTAAAAATAAACATGCTCTAACAAAAATTATTTAACATCTTTAAGGAATAATTATTACTTTTATGTTATTTATTAAATCATCATATTATTCAACAGGCATTGTTCATTCCACTAGACAAATTGTAAATTTGGTGGTAACGCTTATTTATCTTTGCATTAAAAAAATTAAAGTTAACGGACTATAGCAAATTGCATTTGTACAAAACAAAAGGCTTTTTTGGAGCATTTGATAGATCACATAATTTAGTCCTTAAGTACACTCCATTTAAAATATGTTTGGACACATTGACCAATCTCCAGCCGATTTACATTTCCAATATTCTCCTGTAAACACATGTGTGATGTTTCCGCTTTGCGGGTCAGTCTCCCTTTTAAACCATATTGGTTCATACTGCTGGTAAGGTCGGCCTAAAACAAAACCAGGATTAAATATATAAATCTCAAATACTAGTTTAATTTTAAGATAACAAATCAATTTAAGCATATACATCAATAATACATAGAATATACAGTTACTTGTACTATTTTATTAAACATAAAACAGTCTCAGTCACCTTCAGCGCTTGCTTCTTCAGCTGTCGCTTCTCTCTTTCGACGTGCTGCTCGTTGTTTTTCTTCCAACTTTATTTTAATCTGATTAGCTTTATCCCACTGACCCTCTTCCATGTATCTTTGATCAGGCCGATTTCTAGAATCAGTTGGTGCGACTCCTGGTTCCATTTCATTCAACTGGCATGCAAGTAATGTGAAATTGTAAAATTTGTCACTGTCAGGCCTAAAAATTTATTTTAAATCAGAAAATATTTTTTAACTTAGAATATTTCTGGGCTGGGTACACAAATGTTCTTTTGATGACCACTGTCGCCTCATAGATTTTGTGTTACCAGGGAGGGTCCATCAATCAGGTAAGGTTAAGTAGGGTTAGAGTCAATGATGGGTTGGCTAGGAGATTGGATTAGAAAGAGTTATGGACGGGTTATGTTAGAAGGGTTAAGAATGGTTAAGTTAGATTAAGTCTAATGGGTTAAGTTAGGTAGGGTTTAGGTAAAGGACATGTTAGATGAGAGACGTGGTTAAATTAAGGTTAGGGATGCTTTTAGGTTATTTGATAAAGTTAGGAATGATTAAATTATTCAGGGTTTGGGTTAGTTTAGGTTGGGTAGTGTTTGGTTTAGGTTAGGCAGGATTGGAGGTTAGGGACAGATCAGGTTAGGTTGACATATCAGGTTAGGTGGGGTTAGGAATGATTAGATTAGGTACGAATTTTGTTAGGTAGAATTAGGGATGATTAAGTTAGGTAGGGTAAGGAAAGGTTAAGCTGGATAGACTTTAGGTTGTGAACAGGTTAGTATTCACAGTTCGATAAGATCAGGCTTGATTAAGACAAATTACATTAGGAAGGGTTAGAAATGGTTAAATTAGATAGGGTTGATTTGTTAAATTTGGGTTAGGGGCCAGTTAGATTAGGTACAGGTTATGTTAAGTTGCATTACGGATAGGTTTGGTTAGGTAGGATTAGGAATGGTTAGATTAAGAAGGGCTTGGGCTAGGTAAAAAATATTTACAACGTGTAACAAAAAAACTTACAATGGTTCATTTCTTTCCCAAGCTAACTTAAAGGGTCCTTTCTTCTGTTCAACTGAACCTGGGGAAACTCCTTCTACATTAGTTACTGGTGCTATTTCAATTTTGCTATCCCACGTTCCTCTAATTATCCAATGCACAACATCTTTTTCATCCAGAACCCTTCCTGTAACCTTTAAAAAAAAAAGAAAATTTAAACAAAAATAAATCATGCAGAATAGAATTAGTATTAAATTATAAAATATATAAGTTAATTGACCCACATGAAAATGAGTAAATGAGAAGTAACTTGACACCCTACTCTTCTACAACCCCTAAATAGTTTTGACACTTATTAAAACAACATTCTAATAATTCACACATGCTCAGTGGTTACACACAGTACATAAGAGGATAAACAACAGGTCTAAAAAATATCTATACATACCATGAGAGAAAACCCGAATTGTAAGATTTACAAGTTCCTAGAAGAGTCATTAATCTGTAGATACAATAACAGTGCTATCTTTTTTATTGTGCAAAGTGAAAGTAACAGTGAAAAAAGTTCTAAAAGAATGTATTAATTGAAAAATTTAACCTGGGAGGGTAAAAACTGGAACGAATGCAAAACCATCTATGATAGATCTCAATATCAGTGTTTTGTTAAACTAAGAGGCATAGACTTGGAATATTATCACTTAAATGTCATTTACTAGACTGACAGTCCCTCTATAGAATAACTGCATACGAGGAAGTACCTTAGTTCATAAAACTTTTGTTTATTTTTGAGACAGTGAATGTGTTTGTGATTGTGAACACTAGATGGCAATTTCTGGATTTTGTGTTAGAACGATCAGTCGTGACTCTATTTTTATGTATATGTCTGTTCATTAAATTTTACCATTCTGATGCTATAGGTCCTGAGGAAAAGAGAGTCAAGCAACTAGAACAGAATAAAATCTAATTACCTCAACATGTGTATAGATTTACAAAAAGTGAACGGCTCATTACTTCTGACTGACCTTAAATGTTACATGTTATTCATTAAACTCTTAAAACATTTAACGAGTTTAAAAACATAACAAACTATTCTTGTGAATACTAGAAAATTCTGTGGTTACAAAATATATTTTCTTTTTATTTAAAGAAACAGTTAACAGTTAGAACAAAAATGTTTAAATTTGCAGGTTTAAAGCAACACCAATTTGTTTTGATAAAAGAAACATTTAAAAATTAGTAGTCTGTATTTTAACTTAACCCTTTTGATGCTGAATAATTTGGCATACACCTCTTTAGTACACTTAACAAGTTTTTAACCTGTCCAATCACAGCACAGGAGAATAGCATTTTTTCAGACCTGACTGAATAATTTACTTTGTTTGTAGTTTACAAAGTGCTAGATTTGTAAATATGTTCCAAAAGGGTTCAAAGTTATTTAAGACCTTGAATTTACTGTCTATTTATCATTTCCAAGGAAAACATTAAAATTGTGACATTCAAAAATGATTAAATAACTCTTGAATTAAATTATTCAAAGTTCAAAATTTCCCTTTCACTTTGGTTTAATTGCTAAATAGAGAATAATATGACAAATATTATCAAACAATTCTTCTCCAGCAAATCTTTAGTTATTTGTATAAAGACTGTGTTGTTTTCAAACCCACTGATTTTGCTTGAAAAGTAAACTAAGAACTCCTGTGTCTACCTGACTGATGAACTACTGTCTACCATACTTTATGTGTAGTGTTCCAAAGTGCTTCATTTGTACGTATTTTAAGTACCAAAAGTTTCTTTTTGTAATAGTAACAGACAGAATGAGTTTATAATTTCTTTAGTATAAAATAAGGGAGGCCATACCTTTCTTTGCACATCTCTATTGAAATAACTGTAGGCCACATAATGAAGGTGGCAAACATGACCAGTTTTAGAGTTTATTATGTCCATATCTCCGTGCTGATCCACCCAAAGTTTTCCGACAATAATGTTATGTACAGTAGTGGTAACCTTCCTCCATGTATAATGATTCCCTGAAATGAAAAAAAAAAAAATGTAAATAAGTTAAATGCAATAATTCAAAGAGAGTGGAATATTATGTATCTTAGAAATGATGACCACATCCAAATTACAAGTTCATCATTCTGCAGACCATACAATTGTTCTTTTTGCATATACACAAGTAAACCAATTTAATTTTAACCTTAAAATTCAATAATTCATAATAAACAATCAATACTTAAAATAAATTTAACGTTTTCACATAGTTTCTGATTTTTGTTTAGAAGGGTGTACATTTACCTACTGTTTATATATGAACAGTGAAGCTGACAGTTTTAAAAAGTAGCGGTTTATATACATAAACATAGTAATAATACATACAAATTTAAAGGTATAAGTGGAAAATAATTTTATTCAATGTTTAATAAAATAAAAAAATATACATTTCACTATGGGACATTTATTCACTATTAGAAGTATCATAAAATAAGTTCCAACGAAAATGCTTTGTTAATTGGTTATACAGATCGTTTCAATAGTCCATAGTTTCGTCGTGATTGCTATTGTTATTAATAACAGTTTTTTCTTCAGATCATTTTTAAATTGAAAATGGACAATTATTCAATTTTTTTTTTCAATTCCGTAAACTGCTTTATTGATGATCAATTTTTATAAAAGGTTTTTCTAACCTTTAAGCTATTTGTAACCCTTTATATATATATCTTCCAAACTCAAAGGTTGCTTTGGCGCATTAAAAGTCTGGACTGAGTTTTCTTCTCCATTACTAGATTTCCTAATTACATTAATTCGATTTCATCAATATCTTTATGTAATTAATTAATTCGGTGATATCTGTCTCATTTGTATTAACAAAATCCTCTCCACCAATATTTTGTCCAGCAGTTATTATGTGATTTACATCAGTTTCTGATGGAGTTTAAGAATTTGCTGTAAAAACGACATCTGGCCATAATCTTTTCCAACAGGAATTGGTCAAAGAGGAGTTCAGTTCTTCAAGAGATATGTTTATTATTTCTATGCAAATTAGTACTGAAAATTCTTTCCATATTTACGGAACTGTTGCATTCAATCAATTTTTTATAAAATCATCATCAATGTACGATGCAAATAAAAAGTTAAATATTTGTATTATCCTTTGTTCCAATGGTTGAAGAATTGAAGTTGCGTTGGGTGGTAGGCAAACTACTTCAACATTAGGATGATTTAAATTTATAAGATGGCCTGGTGCTTATCCCTCAGTAACAAAACTGTAAAACTAATATTTTTTGATGTTTTGATATTGTCTGACATCATGCTTAGAGTGACCACTAAGTATAAAATGAATCTTCCATGCCTGGAGAATCTGTAACTGTTCTGTAAACGGAGGTGTTACCTAACCAAAGGAGATCCTTACAAGAGGAGGTACTGGCCGATATTTACAGAACATTTGACAGCATAATGGAAGGCAAACTAAATAAAACCCCAACAGTGGCCAGGAATTCCTAACACCCTCCCTTTTTTTAACCATAGGGTATAATGACAATTCATCTTTGGGTAATTAGAAAACATAAGTAAAAAAAAATTAGTCCTTGTTTTGAAGTACTCTTTTAATACTAATTCCTAAATTATGTACATATTAAGGCATAATAATAATAATAATAAAAATACCTGAATCAAACTCCAAATGTGCTATTCCCAGTGGAACAACTTGAAGATATTTTCCTCTGAATTTAGAAGCCATTGTAAACTCCTGCCAACATTTCCACTTACGGCCTTCGCAATGCTGCGCTACCATGGGTGGATGATGGGACACTTGTTCAGATAATGCGCGCCAACCCAAATCGTCCATTCGATCGCATTCATAAGTCTCGCCTAGGAGTGGATTGAAAGGTTTTCCAGTTCTATTTGATGTAGTCGAATAAGATGAAACCGTGAATGCCGCTACATAAGCGAGTTGCTCAAGATCGTCTTTGAGTGTTGCTGCATGATCTAATATGTAGGAATATTCATAATCTTCTGTCAACCTTTGTAGCATGGACAATGGCTCTGAAAAGTTTACCTATAACCAACCAAGAAACTCCGTAAGAATGAAACTTCCATAACATCTGACAAAAACAACTTATCAATACTGAACTTACAGGCATTGGAATTTTAGATAATTCTTTTCCAATGCAATTCTTCATTATACTCCAAAGATTAAGTGGGTAGTAAGGTTTATTAGGAACTGCTGTTCTCCTAACCCGTTTTGATCCAGATTCTTGCTTGCAATGTGTAACCTAAGACCAACAGAGAAACTTTAAATTAAACACGAATAAGCAAATAACATTATTAATTAGTAAACTTTATTATAAATGCATCTTCACATTAATGTTGGCTTGTGAAAAAATCATTAAAAGAATGTCACATTCATCATTTCAATAACAAATTATTGTACCTATACTGTACTAATATAGAGGTTTAAGTCATGAAGTAAAGCATTGTATTAATTTAACTTGAATTTTGTGGGTATCAAGTCATGCAAATTCTATTATAATCTTTCATTATTTAGCTCTGTTGGCTCCAATTATTTAGGCTTTGTCTTGTCACAAACTGCTCCCTCTCATTGATGATTCAATATTTTTGTTATTAATGCAATTAATTTATCAAAATAAACAGCCTTGCACAAAAATTTTACAATGGTTGATGTTCTGAGAGCGTTATTCTTTTTAATTTGTATGGTATATCACACATGCAGATTATTACAAAAATATCACTACTTCTGTTTATTTATTTATTTTTTAAAATAAATAATTCAGTAAATAGTAATTAGCTTCTTGGGTTAGTATAGAAATAAAGCAATTATTATGATTTGAACGAATACAATTGGAAAAATGATTTCAATAGCAAGATAAAAAAGTAGCCATCAAAAGAACAATTTAATCCAAATATAGAAGAGGTAAGTGAATTAAAAACAACAATGAAATATTAGATGTGAGACACCTCAAAACAAGTGATAAAAACATCATTTACGTCGAGATGATAAATTTCAACTTGACAGCCCAATTTTATCTCTTTCAATACAAACTACTTACAACTACTAACTTACAATATTTGATCAGTTTTTAAATAGTAAACAATATTTTAATTAAAAAATAAGTTATTTGTTGTTTTTCTGAACTATTTAATAATACTTTTTATAGTATAAAATATAATAATGTAAAAATGTAGCTGATTTTAGTTTAAATTTAAATTTTTTTTCTAAAATAACTTTAAACTACTCCATGTGACTGTCTTGTTTTTCAGCTAAAGAAAAAACAATTGTTCACCTTTTCCAATCAATGTTTCGGATCTATGTGACCAGTATTTAAGGCAAAAATAAATACAGATAAAAAATACCTTTTCTAGACAGCTTAATTAGTAGGAATGAGGACCTAGACATTAGAAGCAGAATGGTACTTAAAACGTATAAAATCAAAACAACTTGTAAATTTTAACTCATGCCAACCTCACTAAAAGTTAAAACTGCAAACAATAAATATGCTGGGTTTTCAATCTTAGGGTTAATTGATAAAGCGACTTAAGCCAGTTTTTGTTTGTGTTTCAATAAAAATTGATCTATTTTTGATATACAAATGATTTTGTCAATTTTGTTTTTCAAATCTGCAATAACAAGCCTATTAATTTCTAAAAGTTTTAGCAAACAGATTGATTACAGTTATTATGAATGTCAGCAACTGTTGTGCCTAATAAATCAGTGACATCATAAATGTCATTAACTTTTGTGCTGAAGACATCAGCAAAAAGAAAATGTCTTAATTTTACAATAGTGAATCCGGAAATTTCCATTTCTTTCATATATCAAAATACATTGAACAATACAATGTTAAGTTGTTAATTCCAAAGGCAATAATGCTTATTACGAATCTGCAATCGGTCGAGTTTAGAAATCCTCTGACAAACTTACACATTTTTATTTTTTAAAGAACCAGCTCCAACTTTTTAGACATTATTGTTCAGAATAATAAAACACTAGGTGTATATTATTTTGTTTGTTTTTGTATATGTCTTGACTTGAGAAAGGGTCACGGAGTTCCGAAACTTTGGCTTATTAAAAGTGAAAAATAGTAATTGTTTCTTCTTTGCCCAAAAAACCCCCAAAAATACAACTTTTCAATAATTAGTTTTATGCTAAGACATTTTTATCTAATATTAAGTTATTCAATTTAATTGATATAAAAACAATATTTGAATGATAAACAAAATCAAACCTTTACAAAAAGCTAAAATCAACTGATATATAATTATTTTAACACAAATATCCAAAAAAAATAAATATATATATATATATATAATGTTTAAAACTGTTGACAAGTTTTTAAAGTAGTTTTAATAAATAAACACTTAACTAATTTACATAAATTATAAATATTTATTCTGCAGTCTTACTGTATTTTTGACTAATTTATCTTTAGTTTTGTTCCAACTTTACAAATAAAAATAATTTTAATGTGCAAACTTGAAAGTGCATTCCTTTTAAAAAGATAGTTCCTACTCACAGTAAGAGCATTCCTACACAGTTCTTTCCGTGAGTAGGAACTATCTTTTTAAAAGGACTGAACACCGCACTCACTCCACCATTCATCATTTCTATGAAAGTGCATCTTCTACTGTGTCAAACTAAGAAACTGACTATTCTAAATCAAATATCAAAATGACCAAAAGGAAATTTACTGGTTGTCAAAATTACCTTAACAACTATTATAAAACTGGTAATGGGATTAAAAAAAAATTACTTTGAATGCATCAATTCAAATTTATGAGTTGGAATTGTAAGTTTTAAATTTACATTATTTGGCTTAAGCAACAAGCAATAACAGAACCGAAAGAAGGATGCTGCTTTCTATTTTTGAAAAATCTGATTGCAAAGTTAAAATGAAATTTTTATCAAATTCATCAATCAAATCATTTTTATAAATTAATGCTGGTGCTTTTATATAATTTTGCAAAAAGAAATTTGTTGAGTACATTGGATAAATTACCTGATTAGAATTAGGAATAGAATGGGAAGGTTTATCTCCTTGGCTACTCGATTCATCATCTTGCTGATCAATATCCTTAGAATCATTTGATTGTGAGTCAGATTTGAAAGGAAATGTGCACGCTGTCACTGGCTCTGAAGGAGGGAGGTTTGTGGACGATGGAGACCTCGGTTGAGAAAAATTTACATCAGAGTTCGACTGCATTGTAGATGAAGCTTCAGTATCAGTTGGTGGGTCCTCCTCTGCCTCGCTGCTGGAACCGGAAGCATCGTCTGGACGATGAGATGCTTTTACAAACTAAAAATAGACATATTTATATACATACATAACTACTTAACTTTAATAAAAGCTTTGGGTTTTAAAATTGTTATCTCATTTCTATATATCCAATTTGACGATAGTTTAATATAATTGATGATCTGTAAGTTATTCAGTTACAAATTCGTAATTAACAAAAGTGAATTCACACAAGCACCAATATACACCCTTCATACGCATTTCAAATAACATGGTTGGTTTTCAATGAAAACTTGCCATTTCTTTAGTTTAATACAAATAAAAATAAACATACAAGACTTTTATTAACTGCTGTTAACAAATTTTTAGCATCAAAATATCACAGATTTTTTAGTACTATTTATATTAATTATAATTAAAATTCATTGCTGGCATTTTATTTTGGACTAAACATAAATTTATTAGTATTACTATGTTTTATGGACAATGTAGTGATAAATATTAATTAAATATATTAACATTATCCTGGTATATAAAATGTTTATTAAACAATTTATAAATATTGTTTTATTATTTGTACCCACATATACTGTAATGGGCGGCTGACATAAAACACATACAAAATGTCCAAAGCAATTGTTTATATATTTAAAAAGTTAAGAATTAATTGCCTAAAAAACTGTGTTTTACTATTTTACCAGTCGATAGTGTGGAATTGGTGTTTATATGCAAATAATTAAATAATTATGATGGTAGTCTATCATAGAGATATTAATAAAAATAAAATAAATTACAAATAATTTATAGGGCAAGCTTCTGTCAAATGTTATTTATATAATTTCATGAATTCAAGTCGTGTAAAAATATTCTCACTTATGCTCACAAGAAACTTTCATTTTCTTCTTTATCAACTTCTGACTACAGAGTTGCAGTACCTCAGCTTGGAATTTAGTAGTCTAAGGGGTTTTGTTAGGGTATAATTCGGCCTCTTTACCCCTACACCAACTCACAGTTCCATCAGTGTCTATGGCCACTTGGAAGGATCAATGCTTTCCTCCCATTGTGTCAAATACTATTTAGCCATTATTTTAATTCTTAAGTTTAGAATTAGGTTAGGGTTAGGGAAAGTGGTTATACATTCATGATTCAATGTTTATCCATAAGGCAGAGAAAATATGTAATTGCCAAGAGTTTTGATTAGATTTTTTCTAAGCAATGAAGATTCAAATATGATCACGATGCATACTTTCCAATTAAGGGCTTTTGAAATAGATTTATAATGTTTAAGTAAAGTGTGGTTAAGATAAAAAATTAGTGTTAGGAGTGTGACTTGAACCCTCAACCCTAGGTTCAATACTGCGGTCCCCCGAGACACTAACTCATCGTAAGTCGTGGATTCTTGTCCCACTTGTGACACTATTATTTAAAAACGTGTAAAAATCCAAGAAGAACCTTTTATTATATTTCCAGTTTTTTTTAAATTATATTATTTTAATATTAAATTATTAAAAATTAAATTTTTTTTAAATTATAAGAAATCCTGTATAATGTTAATAATCAGGCTTTTTCTATTAGGAAGTGTTGCTGTTTATGGGTGTGGGTTGTTTATAACTTGATTGACCCAGATTATCCTGTTTCACTTATAAATTTTGCATGTTAGGGCAGGTTTGTTTAGATGTTTTACCATCTTCAAGGGTTATGCTAAACATAAACTGACTCTGATCACTGATTTTAGCATTGAGAATGATATACCTTTCTATTAAACAACTGTACACTTAAAAAAAATTAAAATAAATAAATCAACGTAAAACATCTTCCAGCTTTTATTTTAAAATTTAGTGATAATTTGAGGTGAAATTAAGTTCTCTCTTTTGTCACAACACTACTGTATAAATTTAAACTGCTTTCAGAATGATATAAGCATTAACAAATTTTGTTAACTAATCATGAAAAGTTCATACATCAAGATTTGAGGTCTCATAATGTAACTAAGATTGAAACACACATATACTTCAATTTAATGTTATTGTTATAATTATTTGGAGATCGTGAGATGTGGTCTGGCACCGCATCTCACTATCTCCAAATAATCATCAACTAACGGTCACTAAACACCACACGTTATTGTTATATTTGCTTACCCACAAATATAAAAGATAATGGTCATTCAAATGCACTTTAAATAGCGTACAGCACAGGTGATTTGAAAGACAATGTCACTAATGAAAATGTTAATTTAATTTTAATGAGAGCAAATTCGATAAGATGAACTTTTATGCAAAATTATAGACTGATATTTTAAAGAACTTTCAATTCTAGAGGATAGAGAGCTACACAAAACAAGTCCTCTCCAATCAAAATTTCCAAAGTATTTTTATTAAATTTTATTAAAATATTTAAATAGCAAAATTATATATAGCCATGCAACTGGTTTTTATTATAAGAGCAACTTACCTCCCTATTGGAACAACTAATATTTAACGGAAGTTTGGATGATTCAGATGATGCAACTAATTCTTCACATTCATAGAATTCTGCGCCTTCTTCGTCATCGGAAGGAGCACTGCTAATGGCGTCTAATGACAGGTTATATAATGTTAATTATTTCCAACAGATTTATCTACTTGTAACTTATTTGAAGAAATTCAAGAATCAATATTTTAAACAAATCAATGAACTTAAGGGGCATAAATCACTAGATTAATAATGTAAGAGCAATCAAAGCAAAATAATTTTGAACTGTATCAGGTGGGTTACATAGAATCAAACAAAATGACACAATGAATTACTTTTTAAAATAAACTTTTTTTTCTTAAAATAAAATCATAAATATCACAAATCTCAAAAACAAGTTCTAGTTTTCTGATTAAAATGACTTTATCATGAAAGATCACTATTTTGAACAGTGATTGATGCTAGTTTTAATTTTAATTTTTATTTTTACGAGGGTTTGCAACAGCAGGGATCATATCAACCTTCGGGGTTCCGGTGTTTTTGAGAAAAAAAAGTCCATTTGTAAGTATGTTGGGTTCGAATGCAGGGCCACTGTATTTGAACCCGGGAACTTCACCTTACAGTGATAAGTGCCGTGTCAATGCCTAAACTGCTGCGGCCCCTCACACTCCCTTTTCAGTTGTTATAAAACTATTTATTTTAATTTATATTTATTGTACATTATAGACAAGGGAAAAAGAAGAGAAATAAAAACAATTACTTTTGGGTAGCCTGTGGTCTTTAGCTGCTTGTTCCAAAAATGAATGTTGCGTAGCTAATTGTTCAACCATTTCTTCGAGCCTTAATTTCTGACTTCGTTCATAGAGAAGTGCTTTCTGCCATTTTCTACCTTGTGTTTGTGCTAGTGTTAAATATTCCGAACAAGCCTACAAAACAAAAACAATATTGTATTATTACACGTGTGAATTAATGAAATGTTCATACATGTTAGTTTTAGTTTTAATACGAAGTATCAACAAATATGCCTTCTTGGTGAAAAAATAAAGATTTAATTGATAAAGGAGAATTTAGATAAATTTATAGTTTACTAAGTTTGCTACTAAATCTCAGTGTTTACAATGCAATTAAAAGGCAATTTTTGTAATTTGCAACTTTTTAAGAAGAAAAAAAAAACTGGTTGCTATTGTTTCAAACATTACAAAATTTATTCACACTTTAAATCATCTGTGATTATCAAACTGCTAACAGATGTTCAGTTACTTCCAAATAAACAATAAGGCTTTAAAATCTTTAAAAACATAAATATTTATAAAACGATGTAACAGCAGGCAGTTTATCGCAATGCAATGCCATTTCATATCCATTTTTCTTAATTGTGAAATCTTGTTAATTGGTTTGTGTTTTGTTTAACATTTGTCAGCTGTAGGGATGTTCACAGATTCTACATAAAAATTGTAACAACCATCTTTATTTATGAGACAAAACCTTCTTTATTATTATAAAACATCAAATCCAATCATGAATTAAAAAACCAAATCACTAGTTTTTCACAGATATATCCTGAAAACAGGTCTTATGGTACAGCAAGAACGGGCAGCCCAGGATGATCTGATTATCATCACTGTTCAACAGCTCACAATCAAAAAGGAGTAATTTGGTCGTTACGGATCATCCTTGTATGCTTATCCTCACTGCTGGTCTGTGAGACACCTTTTGGCATTTTGCCATCTCCAGACTTAACAATAAAGATGGTGAAATATCAAATTACAAATTCATCACCTTACAGATCACACAGAGACATTTTACAAATCAAGAAGGTTTAAGCTAACAAAGCAATTAGCTATACCAACTATTCATATCAGCTTTTACAGCAAAGAAAATTGATAACTCATGAAATTTTTGATCTGCATTATTAGACATCAACAATGAACGGAAGCATTTCCAAGATAATATTGAAAGTTTAAAGGACTTAGAAAACAAATTTTACAAAATAATCTTGTTTCAATTTTTCACAATCCGTATACTTACTTCAAATTCAACAATATTTTTGGAAAATTGAGGACAAACAAGTGGGAAATTATGATTTCAGGTACTGGCTGAACATTATGCACTCACCGTCAAAAATATTGGACCGCTTGATATTTTTTAGTTTTTGACCTTAATCCACATGTTGCCTATATTATATTGATATTATTTGCTAGATTAGAGGCATTGGGGATTAATCGTATCATTATTTACAAACAAAGGAAGGATCAACGTTTTCCTTGGGTTTCAATGTTACTTTTAGTTGACTTTTTACCTTTTGTTAACCACTGGTAGTAATTTCTCTTTTTCTTCGCTCTGCATGAGCACTTAAGCTGTGATGAATCAGTCCGAATCATCACTCTCCATGAAGAAGAGAAACCATTGCATAAATTTTGCCTTGGCATTCATTATTCATCAGTTTCAATTAAGATTAAAAGGTACGGGGTAGACCACTCGAGGCGATTAATTTTAGGGCGCCTCAGAATCACCAATCCCATAGACGATAGATGCAATTCGGAAGCCCAATTGAACAGCTTCTTGTATAAACACTAAAACTAACTGATCTCCAGTATTCAGGGGATATGACTGAGAGGGCCAAACTCAGATCAAGAAAGCTCCATGAAGGGCCTTCTTACCACTGTAGAAACGAAGATTTACAACGGAATATCAATCATGGAATAGAGGAAAGGAAAAATAAGTCCTATTCACCGATGAGACAGACCAGCTGTGAATGAGACTAGAGAAGACTTCGAGAAAGATACAGTCAGTGCTGCATGTTGAGGAATTATATGGGTCTATCATGTTCAGGAGAGGCATTCCTTGGGACGCACGCACCCAGTTGGTTCCAATTCAAAAGGAGGGTCTTGAATGTATTAGATATCTGGAGATATCATGACTAAATGATGAACTAAATCACTGTTTGTATACATACATTGTTTGTATATGCTTGGCCACATAAGCCATCTGAATAATTTCACTAATTTCGTGGTCCGCTTGACCATTAATATATTACAATTAATTAAGGTTTTTAGTTGAGATAAAAACCTTACAAGATATCTAGCTGAAGATCGTGGGTTCGAATCCCGCTCATGCTATTGACTTTTTTATCTCAACTAAAAACCTTAATTAATTGTAACATCTGAATAATATTTAATTTTTCAAAATTATATAAACATGCAGAACATTTTGATAACATACATTCATGTTTTCTACATACTTTGAGTAACAGTTATGTACAATACGGCAAGTATTATTTGATAGGATTAATTCATCCTTATATTTTATAAAATTATCATTTATAAATGAAATTTTTCATTTATAAAAAAGTGATAATTCGAGACGCTAGATATTTTTATTCTATTTACATCATTCCTGGTCTGCCTGTTTGTTATCGCTGCATTAAAAAAATTTCATTCTTTAGTCAAAAGGTATACACTGAACTTATTGTTAGCATAAAAATGATATGCGGGCGGTGATGTTTAGCAACAATGGCATCTTTGTAGGTTTTTTATAAGGTACATACACCCTTATCAGTTTTTTAATTTATCACAGTGTGCCGTTCGTTAAAGAAAAACAAATGAAGTATGATTAATCCATCCTTGATACATTAATATCAGCCTTCGATTTGTAATTTTGTGCTAAAAAATCAGGGATAAGGCCAATTGAAAGAAAAGAGAAACAGTCCGTTCGAGGAATATATTCTCTTTATTAGGATGAATTATTATTAACAATTTACGAGGTTAAAAAGTATGAACATCTAGTTATAAAACCGAACTGGTTTCAACCATAATTAATTTATAAATTAACAGTGAAACAAGACCTTATTTGAAATAAGGTCAATACTTAAGTACATGTTCATATTTGTTAATCTTGTAAATTATTAGTGACAGTTTTAAAGTATTGAAGAATAAATATCTGATAATCAGAAATGACCAAACTACGACTATTGCCACTATATTAGACGTTTTACAGCAAATTGGGAAAATCACCTACTCGGGTGTTACTGTTCTGATGTTCAATTATCAGTTATTCAAGAAAAAGACTCAATATTGAAGATGTTGAAAATTCCAAAATGCACGTCTGAAAGACCAATACAGTGATGATAGGCAGACCTTAATGATCAGTAATGAATAAATTACATGTTTTAAGTTTTAAAACAATTGTGATAATAAAGTTTAATCAATTTCTATATATTTTAACAGCTGTAGACAGCTTTGGCTGTCGGTAAGTATCGTAATGCGTACCTTTCTGAGTGTAGAGCATACTTAAAAGCCTGCGCTATTGTCACTAATTCTGCTTTAAAATTGACCCAGGGAATGTCTTATATTGTCTCGGTATTTGGTCCATGCACTGCACAATCCAATCTTCCAATGATTTTGAAACTTTGAAAGACACTCAAGAAATCTCTTTTCATATCATAATTAGTGCTAGTGGATTAGCAGATTGAGGAGGGCAGGCCAGGAGGTTGGGAAGTTAACAATACTGATATGATAGGTTGCGATAGGTCAATAGTAGAGTGGAAGTATTTATCCAAAATAATTAGATACCAACAAATAACATAATTAATTATAAGTGATATATTTATTAACTATCACCAAACAATTAAATCCCACATAGTTGAGGGTTCGTCATGATGCTAACTTTTTCATCTCAACTTTCTTCTCATGTTTATATACGTTAAAAAAAAATTTAAAATCAAATCCAACAATCCTTCAAAATTCAATATATAAACATAAAATATCAATATCACACTGGCACTCTCAACACGACACACAAGAACGAGACATCTACACAGAAGACAAACACTTTGAGTGAGTACAAATACTTTGATTGAGTATAAAATTTCTAGCATTGTATAAATTCATTTTTTCACATCATGTATGTATTTTTATAATTTAAACTATGTCTATAAATATAAAATAAAATGAAGATGGTCTCAATAAAGATCGAAACGTTGGCATGATAAAGAAAATGTTTTTCTAGGCCTACATCACATTAGACCGCATCTCACGATCTCCAAATAATCATTAATTAACGGTAACTAAACAACACACATTTCTTCTCGTAATTTAGTCTACTATAAAAAAAAGTAAAAATTAAGATAATGAAATAAGTAAAATTAAAGGCCAATAAAAATTATGGAAGTAATAATTTAAATTTAATTATTAATTGTGTTTTGTTCTTTTCCCATGCAAACAGTTGTGAAACGGATGGGCACATTTCAAATTTCTTTGCATTTCTATGCTTGATTCGGCAAAACATTGGGTCTAAGATTGTTTGTAAAATCCTAAATAATAATTAAACTATTAATTGTTCCATTTGAGATCAATGCTACTTACAGCGCCTTAAAGGATGATGAACGACAAGTTAAAACGTTTTGTTAATTAACCGAGGGGGGGTCTTCTTCACAGCTCGGAAGACGCTAGTTGACTGAGTGTTGCAGATTGGCGCGATGAAACACTGAGTCATCGTGATCGAAGCGTACTGGTGATTAATGAGGAATTATTCCTCAAAACCGTACCGCCGACTATCTAGGTGCGTTCAAAAATACGTAAAAGTGCGAGAAGAAAAGACCGTGGAGCGTGATAAATAGAGGACAACGACAGTTGAATGAAATTGGAACAATTGTTTCAACGAGCTCTGTATGTTAACATGACAAAAATTTGGACACTGCCGTTATCGCTTGATATTAATCGACCACTTTTTCCTTGGCAAAAACAACATAAAAACGGCGAGTTCAAAGACGTTATAGTGTTAACAAGCAGAGCTGATCAGTAATGACAGTTTGAACAATAGTTCATCAACTCAAAGAACCTTCCACAGAAATAGGGTAGCCATTTTTCTTCAAGCGATTAAAGTTGAATTTGACAAAATTGTGTGGTTCAACATCAATAAATTGAAAGAATATATAAGCAATTTTATTTTTGTTTACAGTCCAATATTAAAAACTGATTATTTGGAGATCGTGAGATGCGGTCTGGTGTGACGTAGGTGCCGACGTTTCGATCTTTATTGAGATCATCTTCAGGGCCTGGGATTTATAAACATTGTTTAAATTTTACAAATACACGTAGGTTGTGAAAAAAATGAATTTATACAATACTAGAAATTTTAGATTCAGTCAAAGTGTTTGTTTTCTGTGTAGATGTGTCATTCTTGTGTGTCGCGTTGAGAGTCCCAGTGGGATATTGATGTTTTATGTCTATATACGTTGGATTTTGAAGGGGTGGGGAAGGAAGACGGGATAGAAAGACATTTTTATTCATTTTTTCATTCATCAATTCATTCTTTTTTCACATCCTACATGTATTTGTAAAATTTAAACAATGTTTATAAATCCCAGGCTCTGAAGATGATCTCAATAAAGATCGAAACGTTGGCACGTTAAAGAAAATGTTTTTCGAAAACCTACGTCACACCAGACCGCACCTCACGATCTCCAAATAATCATTAACTAACGGTCACTAAACACCACACATTAAAAACTTTTTGTCTAAAAAAAGCCATCGTCATGAGATTCTAATATTTTATTACAAAAACAAAGAAAATTATTAGAAGATAATCATTAAATTACAAATAAACTCAAATATTAAAATGGAATTTTGATCTGTTACTTATTACATACTGGAGGATCTGACCCATAGAAGAAGGATCGTCCTCACCCGATTAGGAATAGGCCACGCGAGGTTGACACACGGACACTTACTTCTGAGAGCCCGATATTTGTCCGACATGCAGAGAAAGGTTGAAGGGTGCGATTCCTTGGCTCCAGACAGAGAGCAAGTAGGAATGCCATCCAACATGAGAATCTTCCTTGAGCCCGGCAGCGAGTATCTTGGGTACCCTGATCCAATTCTTGGAGGAAACAGGGTTGTTTTATTGTACATAGTACTGATAGTTTTGTGTTGAGAGTATATTTATTAGCTTAAGTGTGTAGTGTGAAAGTGCCGATGGCGGAATACTGAGTACTCCATCGACCTTTAATTTGCTTAGTTATATTATAGGTGTAAAGGGTGATGGAAGAATATCGAGTACTACATCACCAAATTGAGTGAAAGATATGTAAATAGGAAAGAATGTATTTAAGAATGAACGTGAGTTTGAATGGGTTTGGAACTGCATGCGTTAGATGCTGAATTGACTTAGCTGCTGACAGCACCCCCATGGAGCAGCCAAACCCCGGTAGGTGAATACCTACATCCAAGGTAGGTCAATCGCGAGGCTTTTATCGTAAATTAAAAAAGCTGAAATTGACGGTGGACTAAGAAATGTGATAGGCTCAACGCTTCACATGTGTGAATATATGCAAATTTATGTGCGGATTTGAGCTTATACAAATCCAAAATCAAAATCAAAATCTTTACGTATTCAAGATAAGTAATAAAACGTAAAGAATACATATACAATTAACGAAATATAATTTTAGAAAAACAACCATTAAAATGAAAACTCGACCTTTTAGTCGGAGAAGAAATCAGTGACCCTGGACACAACGTTAGCAACAGAGGCGAGGAATGAGAAGGTGCATTGAGTCCCATAACAGGCCCTGTGCCTCTCCGTATGGAAGGCGCTACCTCTGAGGAGCTACAGATGCACATTTCTTAAAACCTCAGGCGAATACACCGTGATGCTTCCTGATGAAAACCGAAGATAAGAATCAGCGATCAGAGAGTGTAGAAGAAACAGAAGATTCAGCCCGGGAAGGAATGTAGGGCATACCGAATTTGAAAGAAAATGGGTAGCCTTCCTCTGCACCCTCTCCAAATGGTCGATTTCAACCCCAAGGTAAGGATTCTCAACTGAACTCCAAGTGGTTCTGACAAAGGTAATGTAGAGGTTTTTTAATGACAAGGGGATTGCGAAAATCAGAAGAAAAGCTTGAGATAAAGCCTAAATTCTTTAATACCTTATTTCTTTATCAATGACATGACTGAAGGAACAGTTTCAACTAAATATGGTAACATAATAGCAAGATGGTAGCAAAAGAGATCAAATTTTTCTATTTCATTAGATTTACTAAATTTTATGCATTTTCATTTTCCTGCGTTAATAATGAGGTCATTTTTGTAACACCTTGGAAAAATAGTAGTAGTACTACTACCTTACCTCACCTTAGTGGTCTAGTAACAAGCATGCTTTATTAAATGAGAACATAGGGCTTTGCCAATGCTTAAATATTAATAAAAATGGAACAGCTTACGTTTATCATTGCGTTTGAAGAAATGCGAAAGAGAGTGGCTCGTTCATTGATAGTTTTGATTTTCGCCGATACTTCAGTCGCAGAGTCGATGCTCTCGAGTTCCGTCAGTGACCTTTGTAAAATATTGCCGTGTTTATTAATTAAATCATTGCAGGTTTGAATGTATTCCAGGCGGTTGGTAAGTTCCTTCATAACTGACGAGAGTTCACATTTGGAGGCCCCTCCTTCGAAGTCTTCTTCTTCCTCTTCTAAATCAATAAAAATTTTCAGTACATTATATTGCAGTAACATTTGTAATTAGTAATTATTTTCAATTTTTCTTTTAATTTGAGCATTAATAAGAAATAAAATAAACAAGTCGATTAGACATGCCGAGGTGAAATATTCAAAACAAATTAATTAACAATCAATAGTGTTAAATCATTAAACAGTCCATATTATAGATTTATGTCGAGAAAATCATTCCTTTTGTAAGAAATTAATCTTGGGAAAGGTGGAAATTCAAATACTACCTGATTAAGACTTGGAAAGATTTTTCTCTAGAACAACTTACCTTTTTTTATAACTCTGTTTTTGTTTGTTTGTTCGTTGTGCATGTACAATTCACAATGTCTGTCAAATGAGTCTCTCCACTGATGTACATACTGAATTAGGCTTTATTTTCATATCTACTTGTCTAACAGCCTAACAAAGAGGGTATATAGTTTGATAGTTACCGATCATCTTGGTACGCCTATCCTCGCTGATTTTTGTCAGTCCATCACGAAAATCTGCGAGGATAGGCAGACCAAAATGAACTATCAAATTTTATCCCCTATTACACCAATATAGTAAGTTCCAGTAACCTTGGATCACCGTTTGTAACAAGGCACACTGCTTGAGGCGTTTCATTGCAAAAATTTAATCGCAAATATGACTAGCAACAGACAATTATGTCATGGGTCGCAAAGTTTGGGTAGGGGTGGTAAACAAGTAGACATAAGTAAAAGAAGTTCGTTTACCCCACAGGACAAAAGCTGCAGGTGACTTAGATGGAATAAATAGTATGATGCCTCCCTTAGGCACGGCGAGGTGGATGATGGGAAAAAAGGAGCAAATATTTAAGACAAGTAGAGCAGTAAGAAAAAATTATTAAGTAAATCCTATTTTTTCGTTATACAACCCCGCTAAAACAAGGAATCCCCCCCCCCAAAAAAAAAAGTAAAAATCTAGATTTTAGCATTTTATTTTTATTTAATAATTTTTGAAAACCAATTAGCATGAATTCTACGATCTTAAAGATAATAAATCCGTTTACAGAACGCAAAAATTGGATCAGTACAGAAATGAGAGGTCAAATAAATTTGGATCACTTTGGTACGACACGTGCCGTCTGATGAACGCACTTCCAGGCGGTACATTTAGCCTTAAATCGTCCATGGGTCCAGAGAAGCTCTGAATTTTGCGGAGTTATTTTCTTAAAAAAACCTCACGTTCTGGCGCACTCCTTTCCATATTAATGACAGCTTTAACAGGTTTTTTTTAACTCGTTCGGGGTTTTCCTACAGTCCTTGATTTGAGACAGGAGATTTCTTTTAAGAAAGTATTCAAGACTAATTTTTCGATAACAACCCTTAATGGAATTACCAAGATATATTAAAAGGATGATGATTGAGGAATTGAGAAGTCACTGGTCAGTGAAAAGAAAACATCAAATAAATGCTGGCCATGCCAAAATTTTTGAAAGTTAAAATAAACGATGGCTAAAACAATCTCTGTCCCATCACAGAAAATACTAGCGTTTTATTGAAAATAAAGAACCATGGGGAGATAAAACAAAATAATAAAATCCTGGAGTTCTTCCATAGTATCACATATGGCTCAAAACTGGGAAATCAGTAAGGATGTTTATCAACCAGCAGTTTTTAATTCTAGATGTAGAACAAACAAAGTCTATTGTACATTGGACACATCCCTGTCCTTCTTCTAAAAAAATGGGAATGGTAGGGAATGGCCGGGCATAAAAGGGCGTAACTATAAACGTCATGGCCATCGGCTCCATCACAACCATCCAATCCGAAATAGTAGGCCAGAAACATGTTCATATGAAATAAATAACAAATATATCAAATGGTGCAACAATAATACTAACAGATATCCGAGCAATTATCAAGACTCTTTAAGCTTACGAGATCAACTCAAAACTAGTCTGGAATTGCCTAACAACCCCAAAAAAAACTGGGATCTACAAATAGCTTGACGTTAGGTCCGAGGTCTTTAGGGAATTTCAGGCAATGAGAAGACATACTGGGTTAAAAGTGCCTTGGAATAACCTGTAGGCCCAAATCCAATTTATGGTATAACTTACAGGCACATTAAAAAAGAACTGGAATTTTGGGTAAATTAAGAACACAACAAATACGTACTGGGAAAAAGGATTGCATGCTCAACAAGAAAGGGGCTAAAAATCTTGGTGTACAAGATCCAGGACAATACCACTTTAAAAAAATGGCACTGACAACCGATGACCAATGGTGACTGTCTAGAGGTAGATGAGACAACTGCCTTGCAATATCTACATAGAGGCTAAGGCACCCAGTAAAGCTAGTCCTGAGCAAAAATACCCCTTAGAACAATTCTTTACTTCATTAAAAAGATAAATTTTTCTAGAACCATTAGTAGAGGACGCAGAAGACGAAAGTGCTAAAGGAGGGTATCTCTATACTATCTGATCAACAGCTATAAAGACCAAGCTTACGAGATGGACTCAAAACTAGTCTGGAACTGCCAGAATACCCTAAAAAAACTGGGATCTACAAAAGAACCCGACGCTAAGGTCATTTCGGCAATGAGGCTAAAATGGGAGCTTTCGTACAATACAGGCCCAAATCCCTTTTTGTGTCATAAATAATAGCCCCATTAATGCAAGAGGGATGAGACAAGCAAAAAGTGAAATACCACGTGGAAAAAATGGTACTATCAACAGAAACTAGAAGAGGCACAGACAATAGAACATATCCGATGCAACTGCACTGCAAAAGCTATGGTACCTCGGAAAGCCGATCCTTAACAATGATGACCTTCCAGAAAATTATATTTGACATGCCATTCACGAGGACGGACAGTCAACGATTCAATACATGCGTTAATGTAATAGGCGTTTCGAAAGGGTAGGAATTAACAAGAGCAGATCAGTAAAATTTCGTCTGACAAGAACCACTGAAAAACAAAATACGCAAAATATAATCAAATAGCAATAGAAATAGGAGTGAAACAAGAACGAATTTGAAGTAATAAAAAATCAAACAATTGAAAACAGTGTAGTAAAAACAAAACAGAAACAAAAACAAAAGGACTCATAGCCTAGTGAAGAAAAAAAAAGATAAAAACCGATTAACATTTCTATGTTAACGAAGCAACATTATAATGCACTAACGAGATGGTTATATTCCAATATTACAGTCCAAATGAGGTAAAAACACAAAATAGTACAAGAGGACGATGACAAAATAGTTCAAGGCATTCCAATAAAAAAAGAGCTAAAAATCAAATAGTGATAGCCTTTAACCTATGAAAATGTCAATACTGAATCAAACACATAAAAGACCATGACAAAACAAGTTTAGCATATAAAATATGGCAAAATTAAGTATATTTTACATGCTTTTGTAAATAGAATAAAAAGGAAGATGTTCTGTGACAAATGGACAGGTCCAATGGTATTTGAACGTACAAATCCCTCGGCTAAACCTTAACACCCTTCACTGACATTGACGTATCACTTCACGTAGATCACGGGAAACTACATCGGGGTGGGAAAAAGTACAACGGGAAACCAAACATAAAAGAGATAAAAAGTATGATTCTAGATTACGAGGCAATCATAATGCTGGCAGTTTTGAAGCTTATCGCCTTGTGTTATCCTCATTACGGTTACTGTTTTAAAAATGTATCGTGTTACCAAAGGTCCTGATCCAAAAAAAGACTAAAGCACTGACGTAGGCAGACAGGGATCTACACGAAGAAAAAGAATCTTGTTTACATATTTCACCTTGATGTTACAAATAAAATAGAGGCATTCTAGCTTAGTTGATGAGAAAAAGTCCAAAGGGCACTCCTAAGAGCAGCCAACGTTTTCCCTACAGGATCTTTCCAAAGCCTTTAAGAAAAAAAACATCTAAGGAGATCTAAAGAAACATTGGCAAACATCAGAGATCTATATGATCGATAGGACAGTGTGGAAGAAGAAGAATCTCGTTTGTATATTTCAACTTGAAGCCACAACTAGAATAGTTACATTATAGCACACATGAATGATGATGAGCAAAAGCTCAATCGGGACATCTAAGATCAACGAACTCATTTCCTTCCTGGACCTTACCAAAGGCTTGTCACTGATCCCGTTTGAAATGGAATTAGTTAAATGCTCAACAATTCACTTCTAATTGATTCCCCAGTTACATTTCCTTGTTAGATAAGAACGTGCGAAAAGGAAGACACAATTTGAACTGAGTAACCTCACTGAAAGTGTCAGAGGTGTAACCATACGAAGGATCACAAGTAAACGGGTTGCTCAGGGTATCTTCTAACTCTAGAGGAGCGAGTAGCAAGAGAACAGCTCAACTGGAGTTTTGATGTATGGAAGAGGGTTTTGTTTGATTTGTTTATTCCTCGCCTCGCCTTTGTGGCTCAATCAAGTTCTTTAGCCTGGTATAACGATGGAGGCCCACAATGAGTTAGTCCGTTATTCAAGGACCGGATAGGTACGTGGAAAGAAATCGTACAAAATAATATCTGTGCCTTATGTTGGGAATATCTGAGGCGGATTTATATTCATGCAAGATAATGGAAGAATCAGCAGAACAATTCATTCAATATTTAAATGATAATGAGTCACAAGGTCAAATGTCAGGGATTCGGCTCAAAAGAAGAATCGGAAGTCTGGTTATCCTACCAAACTTACTACAACATATACCACGTGGAATTGGAATGTCCTTAAAATGAGAACCTTCAGGAATTGCATTTGAACAGCCTTAATATTAAAGTTTTTAAAAAGTCTTTTAAAAATTTTCCCACATGATTTGGGGATGTGGGAGAAGTTTTTTATACGAAGGAAGGATGATCAGAGAGTACGAATATGTTAAGTATAACTTTGAACTGACAATTGAAAATCTTGAAACACTGAACAATGGGTATGCAATCTAACACGTTCATCACCCTAACTATACCTAATCTAACATAACCCTAGCCTAACTCAATCCAACTGTCCACTTTAATATATTTTCTTTCCTCTGGTGAAACGTAACATTTTATTTTGACCATGTTTCTCGCAAAACGAAATGGTTTCAACAAAATTCACTGACTTTCTTGTTTGGTCTCCTCAGTCACGAGACCTGAATACCATACGACATCAGCAAGGAAATTCTAAAAAATGCCGTTGGTAAACGAAATCCAACTAGTAGAAAATCGATTTTTCAATTTTTATGGTAAAAAATAAATTAGTTTGAAACTTGTCAGTACTATCCATAAAACAAACGTCATAAAACCTAGGCTAGAAAATAGTTATTTGGTCGTTAATTATCATCCCAGTCTGCCTATCTTCACTGTGTTAGCCTGCCAGACTCGTCTTATCTTCAGTGTGTCTCTTACTTCAAAGAAATCACACTGATCTAACACTGAAACTCGTCCCCCCCAGACCGCACAAAATTTGATTTTCACAACAAACTATCTTTTTTTAATAAATTAATATTTGGTATGTTGTAACTACCCGAAATATTTTCGCACAGCTCTGGTTCCAAATTTATGTGATTAAAGCAACGAATTATGGCTGCTTTATATCGTGCAGCACCTTAATATACGATCAATCTGTTCGAAGGTCAATTAAATTTACGAGGTATGTCATGTAGAAAGTTATTTGTACCGTTTCTCATTCATATTGTCTGTACAATTTTAGATCACCTGTGGAATACCTTTGTTCCGAAGGAGTTGTATTATTTTATAACTTGCCTCGTTAATTATGGGAATAAGAAGGTAATTTGTCAATGGAAGCCGCCAGAAAAATTTGTTTTGAAGACATTGGACAAGAACGAACGTTGTATATTCAGTGGAATAAATTCAAGGTTGGAATATTTTCACAATACAAAACACACGATGATATCCGGTTTTAATTAGGTCCAAAGTTACCTTTAAAACAATGTTTAAAAATTAATATACCACTGACCTGATTCGATAGCTCTTATTGCTTTTGCCTTGGCCAATTCCAACGCTGTAACCCATTTTTGCCTTTCTACTTCAGAACTAGCTTTTATATGAAATGTATGAGTTGCTCCATTGGAGATCACAAACATGCATGAATCTTCAGTATGAATTAAGGCACCTTGCAAACTTATTGTCCCACGGCAGGTGTGCGACATCTCAGCCTGATTACTGCAAAAAAAGAGAAACACTTCGTTAATCCAATTTTTGGAGAATGCACGCAAATTGCGCACGTGTATAATAAATATAATCCGACCACCAAAAACAAAATTTAAATTAGATTATTAAGAGAGGTTATAACACTTGAGATTTGGCAGAGGAGACTTGTTAAGAGAGAATCTTGGCGAGGACATTCGCTTACAAAAAAGACACGGGGTCAATTGTTAGGCGTTCACACTTGACAATATTATTCTTCCACTCGTAAAATACCATTTTAAATACCATTTAAAATTAAGTAAGAAATTGGTAATTTTATAACGTGCAACTTATTAAATATTTTACGTTTAGCAATTTGGGCAAACACACACTATCCATGCACCTACCTAGCTAACGAAAATAATTTTTAAACGTTAAATCATGATTGGAGGATGTATGGGAGTTCAGGTGCCGTAGAAATATTTGTGCGGCTAAGATAGAATGAACAGCGAGACGTACATGACAATGTCGAACAGAACTTTGAGATTAACGATAACCTAACCTGGCGAAGGTTACGTGATGTTAAGTAGAACTTTGAACTTTGGCGTTGTACTTCGACTTTTAAAAAAACCAATGAAACATATCCATCCTAATCCTACCTATTCTAACATAGCCCACCCCCTAACAGTCCCTGATCCTAACTCTACCGTATGCCTAACCTAGCGAAGGCTGGATGAACAGCGATGCTAAGCAGAACTTTGAACTTTGGGGTTGAGGGAAACTTGGGACTTTAGAGAAGAAAACAAAGAATTTTGGATATGAAACCCTAATCCTACCTAAACCCACCCCTCAGCCGTCCCTTACCCTAACCTAACCAAACCCTACCTAACCTAGAGAAGGCTGAATGAACAACTATGTTAAACAGGCCTTTGAACTGAGGCGATAAGGGAAACTTGGGACTTTAAACAAGACAACAATGAATCACGGATATGTTACCCTAAACCTACCTATTCTAATCTAAACTACCCCTTAACCGCCCTAACCCTAACCTAACCTGACAAAGAAAGTTTGTGTATCCAACCCAAAACATATCCATATTAAAATAGTTAAATTATTATTTGGCTAAAAAGAGCCTTGCGGTCATTAATTAGCCCTAAACGCCACGTAAGGAAAATCCAACTTTATGTTTACCACGCCACGTTTGTGATTAAAATACAACTTATTGGATTTGATATACTCGTGAAGAAGTAACTAGCCTGGAATACCTACTACTTATTAACTAATCTCACAATTATAGTTGGAACTTGTTAATCGATGAATCAGTTATTCTTTGACTAGATAATTGCGCCCTACAGTCTTTAAGATCTCTAATTTTTCCGAGAAATGGAGGTCAAACTCGAACAAAAACAACCGTCTGTAGTCAAAGAGCCAGTTGTGTTTGTCATCATAGTCGATCCTACAGTCTGGAAATAATTGACTGTTTACCCCTACGAGGTATTTCATGAATTTACCCTACCCCGTCTTTGGGTAATCCAAAAATCCGGTGCTATAGCCCCATCTTATCTGTCATGTTTTCTCGATTCGATTTTATATTTTTGATCCAGACCTGAACCAGGTTAGCATAGCTTCCTTTCCGTCCTTTAGCTCACTTACGGTTATCTTGCTTTCGAGGATAATACCAATGAATGAAGCGGAAGCTAGAATACGAAGCTTTTGTCGTCTTTAAAAGCGGGATTCTTATTCTGTGTTACTCTTGCTTTGTAGTTTTATCGTTTTGTTCCTCCGTACATCGCTATAAGTACAAAAACGAATTTAGTGCCATAAGCTGTTCCATAAATAAAAGTATAAATTACTCTCTGAACAGTTAGTGTATTTTTTGGCAAGTTCTTATAAGAATATTTTTTATTTTCTCCCTTTTTTTAATTTTTTTAATATGTCCCTATTACAAAGACTCTAGTTATATTTTGTAAATTATAATTTTAAAAAATCTATCACTGGCAAATGTGTAAACTTAAATGTCGACATGGGCAAGTTGTTTTTGTACCATTGGAACAAGCCGCCTCTCCTCGCTCTCTCTCTTTCTCTCTTGAATGAATGAAATACCGTGGTTTATTTTCGGATTAAAGCTTTAAATTAGTCCAAGTCGTCCTTGGCAAGTAAAGTTACTTTCACGTTCATCGAGAGGATTTTTTTTAGTATTTTCTTCAATTCCAAAAATAAAACAGTGTTGAGGGAGACTAGGAGATTAAAAAATAAAAACAAAGAACCATGGATATGTAACCCAACCCGTCCATAATCCTAAACTGACCTAATGTAACGTAACCCGCACTTCAAGCGTCCCTTAACATAACCCCCCTAACACTACCCCTTTACTATCTGACCTAACCCTAAGCCATGTGTACTCCCTGATAAAGCGAAAATTATCACAAAGGAAAATCTGTGTAACCAGCCCAAAAACATAAAAACGTCCTAAACTCCCAGTAATTGAAAAAGCCAACTATATGTTTTTTCAGGTCAACTTGGTCAGTTCTCTAAACAAATTTAGTTCCTATCTGAAGATCTTTATAAAAGCAAAACCTCCTTTGGTACTGTACGTGTCCCAAAATTTTAGTAAGTTAACTGTCAACTTAGTCTGATAGGAAGACCAAAATGATTGGGAACAACCGAATTCTTGGATTAAGTTCAATTTAAACTGCTGAAAAACGAATAGAGATATTTGTAATTTTTTCTGGTAATTCAGGAGAATATGGTGCAATGAACGCTTAGAAGAGAACACCAATTGGAATGCTTTTATGTTATTGATGAGTCTTTTTCTGCCTGTATTGTAGTGATAGCAGGCTCCTAAGTGTGCCGAGAACAGGGGATAAGTACAATGCTCCAGTTCGTGCTCCCTTCAGTGCAGTTTAGAGGAGGCGGTGTAATGGTCTGGGCTCTGGGGTCCATTTACACTGGAGGAGGAACTGGACTCCGTATTGCTGAAGGCATCCTCACCGCAATCCGTCATGTCCGAGAAATTATTAAGGAATACATCCCTCAAACCAGGGATCTAATTGGCAGGAATTTTCGATATCTGGACGACAATGCCAGACCCGACAGAGGCAGAGTTGTTCATCAATGTTTAGAAAACCTGGAAATTTCCCATCTCCACCTTCCCTCATTGTCTCCAGACCTCAATCCCATTGAGCCCAAGTGAGAGTTGCAGAGAAGGTCCTTCGATCACCATCCTCAGCAAGTTGACCTTGCAACAACTGAGTGCAGTGTTGCAAATCTATGGAGTAAAATTCCTTATGAAATTACAACCTTATTAACAGTATGCCTAACAGGTGCACAGAGGTTTATAGTAGCCAACAGAGGTCATTATACACAGTATAATTGTTTAAAAAAAATTATGGTGCCCAATAAACAAAAGTATGGAATAAAATCTTTTATTTTGTTATTTTTCAAAATCCCATAATTAAATTTTCCTTCAGTAAAAAACATAATTTCTAAAAAAAATTTAATGCAATTTATAATAAAAATAAAATACTAGGGACAGTAAATACTACAAAATTGGCAATATTCCTATACATTTTTGATCATTTTTTTTCAGTACGGTTCAAGGGGGCAGTATGAAACAGTTTCAATTAAATTTACTACATTCGAGACAAGGGTTGTAATTTAAGAAGGGTGAACAAGCTTCTGCAGAGGCTATAACTGAACTTTATAAACTATTAAATTTTTTCGCCTTTGGCCGACTAAGCGATCGGGTTTAAGGCACGATTTCTTATCGGAATTTATATAATCTTTTGCAGTTTACACATCGTCGATGAACGAGACAAAAAAAAAATTATGGGGAAACATCTACCTTTTGCTGAGTGATTTTTCATAACGTTCCGTTCCTTTAAACCACTTCCTGCAGGTAAAATTTCTTACTCTCGATACCAAGTATTTCAAGACACCAAGATGTTCAAACGGTTTGTTAATCCAATCAGTAACTTGAGAAATTTCGGATGATGCCGGTGTAGACGTTGTAAACCCTTGGCTAACAAGGACTTTATTCGACTACGTTGCTTCAATCAAGAGAACAGAGTGCTTGGCTTGGAAATCCCACGAGAAAGGTTTAACAGTAGAGGTTTTTATTTAGTTTTTTGTTAAAGGTTTAACGACGTCCTCGTTAATCTTTTAAATCAAAGGAAAAGAGGGAGAGCTCTTAACACAAGTGCCATTGTATCTCACAACTAATTTATCAAGCCAAAAAAATCTGAACATTTCTAAACTATCTGAACTATCCTCATAAAAAGTAAACGTTTAAGTTTTTATAGTTAGAATGTGAGGACACTTATTTCATAAACCATTCCGTATATATAGACCTTCCTTCCTCTGAAAAATTGTAGAGAGAAACGTGCCGAAAAAATAAAAGAACATTGTATGATTTTTTATTATCATCATTTTTAAAATTTGTACCATTTGTGCCAGCAATATACACTATATATAAAAGTCGCACTTTCATACTCGTTTATTTTGTCCGCTTTACTGGAAAACAATCCTATCTATAAACCTTCCCTAACACCAACCCTAACTAGACGTTATCTAACTCATCCCAAACCTAACTTAACCTTATCATTATTTACCTAACATAACAATCTAATTCATCCATCCTCCACGGCAAAAAACATTTGTGTAACCCGTCCCTAACCCCAACTCTAACTGTACCTAACGTAATCTAACCCTAATTATTTCTAACCTAAAAGTCCCTAACCCATATTTATCCCTAACGCTAACTTTATTTAACCGTAACTCCAACTATACCAATCACAACCTAACCCAGCTATTCCTTATCCAACCCGTCCCTAACCCCAAATTTAACTATACCTAACATAATCTAACCCTAATTATTTCTAACCTAAAAGTCCCTAACCCATATTTATCCCTAACGTTAACCTTATTTTACCTTATCTCCAACTATACCAATCCCTAACCCAGTTATTCCTTATCCAACCCGCCCTTAACCCCAAATTTAACTATACCTAGCATATCCAACCCCAACCCTAACTATATATAACATAACCTAACTCGCCCTTAACCGTAACTATCCTAAATTAACCCATCTCTAACCCTAGCCGTTACACAACTTGCGTATCCAGCCCTAACCTGTCCCTAACCCCAACCCTAACTATACTAACATTACTTAACCCCAACTATTTCTAACCTAACCCGTCCCTAATCCCACCTTTAATTATACGTACCGTAACCTAACCCTAACTCTAACTATATACCAAACATAATCTAACCCCCCCCACTATTCGTAAATTAACTCGTCCCTAAACGTAGCCCTACACAACTTGCGTATCTAGCCCAAAAAGTTTCCATATTGAAAAGAAAGAGTAATGGATTTAATCCCATTTAGAGTCCCATTCCATAACTTTTAAAGAATTATAAAAGAAATGACGAACCCATTGATCTTGACTTGATAGAAAATAATCCGGATATAGATGTTATTAGGTAAATTAAAAATTCTCAACTTTTAATATTAAAATTACTTTTGTTATTAATTTTTTGAATATTAGTTTGCGACTGCATGACGGTCATTTATTGAGTTATAAAATTTTCCTTTTTAATTTCAAAATGAACATTTTTTCTTTTATAAGATTTTTTATATAAAATTCACAAAAGAAAAATAGTTCTATCTATAATGCAGCTATATGGAGGCAATCAATGTAAAGGAAATGAGTCCTTTGCCCGTATAAACCCAAAAATATCAGATGATTGCTGAACGTAAATTCTCAACAGTTGTCAAATCTGTGAATTCCGCAATTAAGGGTGAAGAATTATAAAACCTGCTTGAAAGTTGCTCGGAAGCTTGGAAGTTGTTCGGAAGCTTCGATTTAAATTATAAACATATAATGAAAAAACAAACCACGTAAGCTTTTATGGTATATAATATGCAAGAAAGCTTAAGCGTTCTGGGCTAATTACTGGGTCTGTTTACACCCGTGGTTCTTCATTGGTGATGGCGCAAAGCCGAAACACGAGTGACAGTGAAGCGAGTGTAGATGGACTCAGTAAATGAAATATAAAGAATTTCTGAGACAAAACAAGGTAAATAGCAATAATCATACATTAGCATAAATTAGTAATTAGAAATGGGATTTATTCAAGTAGAATTTCCTCGATATTTTCAAGCGTTCACCAAACTTAAAACCAATCGAATAGGGGTAACATCACAATAAAACAGGTGCTTTTTTAATAACGCAACAAATTTTGTTACTATTGGAACAAAGTAAACCATTAGAAACGACATTCAGCTATAAAAAAAAAATCAGCCTCTCAGATCAGAGAAGCCTAAACATCACATCACAACACTGGCGCAAGAATTATTAACAATTACCCTGTGCAAGAATGGTGTCTACGCTTAGAAAAGTTGCAAAGTTTGTTGTAGTAACACAATTTAATAGGTTTCCTGAAAAAATTAAAATAAATCGTTATTGGTTTACAATCTGTTATTTTTTCGAGCAATTTGTAACACAAGCCATTGACATTTTATACAATTAAAAGCGAAAAATGTGGTACAACTGTATGAATGTTTTCGATATGTGAAGACCAGTACAAGATTTCTATTGATAAAAACTCTATAATTGTCACGAGGTCGAATTTTACACTACGATAACATTAACAAAAAAGATTAATCAGAATGCACAGCTTTTTGGAGGAATTAGTTATCTCAACAATTATGACAAGTCTATCACAAAATATGCACATCATGCTTGTGACACTTGTATGGGAATAACTGAGAAAAAGGGCAATTTGAAATCACCTATTTTAGGTCCGCAGCCAGTGTTTGTCACAACTAAAACTATTTATGCATTAAAAACTCGCTGCAATAGCCAACCTAGCTTGGCATGAGTTGCCAAGAGGTCTGTATAGAAAGAACCAAAACGTTTAAAGGATTTTTGAAAAAAACCTTCCCCCGGTTATTAAGATTTGTCAATATACATATAATCTATAAATTTTTACTTTTTTTAAATTGTTTTCTGATAGGCAAGAAGCATTTCCTCCTACTGGGAAAAAAAATCGCCTGTAACTTGTAACGACATGTAAACCGCACTAGACCTTCCACCCTTACATATTTACGTACAAATGGTGGATTTTGGGAGTGTCAACAGACCTCAAGGGAATAAAGCCAGATGTAAGGAAGAGCATGAAAAAAATTCTGGAAAGAATTAAAATAAATGAGATGGTTATTATGGTACCTGATAAAAAGAGAGAAAACTCAACTTTGACAAATCCTTCCATGTGGTCATAGTGAATGATCTTTGGAAGAAAAGTGGCCCCACGTTTCAGGAAGGGTAATGGTACACAGATGGATCGAAGATGGGAAAGGGAGTATGTATAGGGATAAAAGTGCCGAACTACTGGACTAACCCCAACAATTTTCCAAGCTGAAGTCCTGCAATACAATTCTGTGCACAGGAGTTAATAAAGAAAAATATGAAAGGCTCATGCATAGATTTACACTCTCAAGACAGTCAGGCAGCTATAAAGGAAGTATGCTTTTAACTCCATATTTGTCTGCGAGTGCCTGATTTGCCTAACGACTCTGAGAAAACAAATTAAGATTACCTTAAACCTGGGTTCCCGGACATGAAGTAATAGAAGGAAATGAACAGTTGACCACTAGCCAAAAAAAGGGGGGCAACCCTCTCACCCTTGGGACCAGAACCAATACTGTGTGCACCGGAATTGTGTGCTCATGTTGAAACTGGAAATAATGGCTTGAGAAATACAAACTCAAACACTGGACAAAAGCACCAGGTATGAGGCAAGCTAAAAGATTTATAAATCTCACAACAAGGAAGGCGAAGGACTCCTCTCTCTCAGCAGGCATGATTTGAGAAAAATTGTAGTCCTCTATACCGGCCTCTGCCCTCTGAACTATCACCTAAATTAGATGGGCAAAGCAGACGTAGAAACATGCCGACTCTGTCACGAGCAATCAGAGACATCACATATGATTTGTGAATGTGAAGCAGTAGTCTGATTACGGTACAGCCACTTCTGTAGGTAATTGTCATAATGTTATAGAAAAAAGTGCTCTTTCCAAGTACGGCTGTAATTTTTGTAATTCTTAATCGTGAATGAATTCAATAATTTTTTTATTATATATATAATACCATGTAATTTCACAAAAGCGTTGTGGTCATTGACGTAGTTAAAAATTATTTCGAATGAACTTGAAATTTTTTCTCGTGGATCGACAATAAAGGAGAATGAATAATGAAACACGAACGTTCTGTAATTGCCACCGTTTAATTGAAGGTATATCATTAATTTCGAATTCCATCTAACAATGGCAGTCCTAAAATTATTGAATTCATTTCGATGCCAAAGCTCGGCAATGATGCTAAAATGTCTTATAACCCTTTTTAACAATATAAAACTTTTAGCCAACTATACTTCTTAACTATACAATAATTTGTTTTAGCTTGGAGAAGGGTGTTTTGACGAAGGAAGACGACCATCACTAATAAACTCTTTAAAGTTACTATGGAAGAAAGCTCAGTTTCAAGATACTTAAAAAATACTGGAAAAAGTCAAAAAGCTCGATTTCCCCGTGCCTATACTTCCAAATCATCAGTGGTCCCTCAGTGGCTCTCACACAGATGCAGGGGTCCCACAAGGAAGTATCTTAGGACCTTTCTTCTACACAGTATACACCGGAGACATTCCTACCCTTCCTGAAACCATCCTCACCACCTTTGCGGATGACAAAGCCATCTTTTGTTTTCATAAAGATCCTATCTTCTCAACCAGAAACCTGCAAACCCATGTCACTCCTTTAGCAGTGGTTCAAGCGTTGGAAGATGGCAATAAACTTGCCAAAATGTGAACATAGCACTTTCACCCTTCGGAGAATAACCACTGTTCTCTCTACTACAATAATATCCCTCTTCCACCTGCTAATGCAGTCCGCTACCTTGGGCTGGCTAAACGACTCTAAGACAACTAAACCGACGCTTCATTCTTCTTAAAAGATCGCTCCACCGATCCAAACTGGCTCTACGAAACGAACGACTCGTGTCAGTGAAAGTGAAATTGGCACAGGTGTAAATAAATAAAAAATATTTAAAAAACCGGTACCTACGATGCACCAGTTGAAGCGCCATGAGACATAATCATATTTTGCGATGAAAATTTATTGCACATGACAATCCGAGGTCAGTGGTTAAATGTCAATAGCCAAGAAGCCAAAATCAAATTTACTCTCAAAATAACTGATAGTGACTAGGTGGTCTACGGCTGGGGTCATTCACTTTTCCTTATTGCCTAGAGGTCACCTCAAATAGGTCAAAACTTAACAAAAAACAGTCACCTCCTGGAACTCCGCATGGAGTCGTCAGACCCCATGTTCCAAGGGAGACGGAATATATTAAAGGAATTGAGCAACGAGGTTCTTCCGCATTTTATTCTCCAGATTTTCATATGTTTAGGATTTGGACTTCTCCATAAAAGGAAATTTTTTTAAAACGAATCAGCTTTTCACTGACTTTTTCTTTTCAAATTTCCTGAATTTTTCAGTTAAAAAAATGGCTACACGTAGGTAAAGGTGTAGAAAAAGAAATTAAATTATTTAAAACAAAAATCTTTGGCTACGTAAATATTTACTGTGAAACAGCCCTTTATTGGAAAAAATAATTCTATCTTCAATAATAAAATTGCCAATGATAATATGGGCATAAAACGACCGTCTCGAGAGATAAGATAAGATTTATTTTATAACAAATGATTATGAATCATGGGACAGTATGAGCTCACCGTGCTTAATGCATTTCCAAATGAAGATGATCAAGCTTTGCTTAATTTTTTATGTATATATTCGGGTATTCGGGATTTCCTTCACCCACGCTCCTTATAGTGATGTAATAGTGTGTCCACGCAGCGAACCCAGAAACCGGGGACCAGGAACGAGCAAAGTCTTCAACCGTAGGTTTACACCTTACAATATATGAAACAATTTGTCTGAAAGGAAGTAGGAAGTGCTTCCATCCAACAAACCGAATATAGCTTCTCCCAAACTTCGTACACACTTTGCATATAGTTCAGGATTGGTAGAACGCCCTTCTGGAGCTCACAATCGACAATTCGTTCAAAATTTCATACAACTGAGAACAGTCAGTCAAACCAATATTCGTCATAGCTTACGAAATGTGAAATGGATGTCACACACATAGCAAATCTTTGGTTAACGAACCCTTGTTAAAACTAGCAACCACATTGTCGACAAAAGAGACTTCACTAAAACTGGCAAGAATCATTGCTACAGTTAGACAAAGTGAGACCAAGTGTCACTGGCATCTGAAAAAACGCCCGCACAACATATATATAATAAATGCTGACCACTTTTGAATGTTATGAAAATGGGGAGGAAGAAATTGCCACCCATATTATCTTCGTATGAGAAACAACCGCTCAATGGAGACATAATCTTGAATACCTAAAATATCCGGGAAAACTTGTAGGAACGACAGTCAAAGACCTTATCCCTCTTAAAAGAAGAATGGAGTTGACTGAATTGAGTTAAGTTACTACGAAAAGTACAATAAGGCAAAACGCACTTAGGGAATTGCCACCATTGCCTCATAGTATTTTCCTCCTCCTCATTATCATCAAATTACTGAAGAAGGCGAACACTAAACCCTTTTTAATGATCATCAACCAATCATCCCCGGTAACCGTGTTGTTGAGCGTTCTATTGTTTTTGAAGCCTGCATATTTGTTCCGATGTGAGCTTGTTTAAGTGACGATTCGCACTCGACTGTGACAAACAGGTCGATTGACACTGGGTGTCTGTTTTTTTGTAAAATCGTTCTCAATAATCTTATCGCTGTTTGCTACAGATTGTCCTCCTGGACCTTGCAACTTTGCAGGCTTGTATCAACATTTTCGAATTTTTCAATCCACATCAGCTGCGTGTTGTTCTATTAAAAAAGTCCATTTTCGAAGGTGCAAAGCTTGAATTTAGTGCTTCTTGGCCACACAACTGTGAAAAGAATTATAATGAAATGCGAATAGTGCATATAAGATTGTTTTTCCAAGGTGGACAAGAGTCAATGCATTGAAAATACATTTAGCATATCATATTGTGTGAAAAACTAGATTATGGATTTTATGGCAAAAACTGTTTCCAACAAACCTAATATAAAAATATTCAATAATAACGATAAATCTGACCTGGATATATAGTATAAAAGATACGAAGAAAGAAGGAGGAACCGTTTGATACAACAACTAAATTCATGACGATTGTACAATTATATATTTTTTGTAATAATTTTTGTGTACCCTTTACTTATTAGTACATATTACAAGTACGTGCATATACGTTTTTTCTCCCTGACATAGCACCGACACTACGGCCAAACGGCCAATATTGTACTAGGAAGATACATGCTAAGAGAAACC